AATGATCAATTACCACTTAATGCTAATTTTTCTATTTTTTACATGTACATATATGTATCAAACCATATAACAGATAATGTTTATCACCCCAGGACAATGAAATCAACAAAGAAATCATTCTTACTCATGATATCTTTTTACTCATAGCCAATTTCAGAAACGTTCTTTTCTTTTGCCTTTGATTGATGAATTTGTCTTTTTTAATGTATTATTTATTACTGGTCTGTAACTGCACGGAAATAACATCCATCTATGATCTATCCATCCTCTATGTATAATTATCTGTCATCCAGAACAAAATAATTCTACTTAGAAAATAATTATCAAATACTATCTCATTGATTGAATTTATATCTTTATATATAATTACAACAATACACCGTGTATAATTCACTAAAGCAATAAATGGTCTTCATATTATGTCTTCCTGTTCATAACAACATTCTTCTTTATTTGTGTCCTTTTGGATACAACCGTAACATAAAAAACATATCTTTTAGAATTAATCCACTGTATTTTTTTCACAAAAGATTTTCTGCATTACCAAACATTGTATATTCCTGTCTTGCCTTAAGATTTTAGGCTAATTTCTGTGTACATAGTTGCAGTAATGAACACAGTATCATATTAATATACACTTGTATTGTGTTATAAATGTATGTACCTGTAGTAAAACACAGATGACAGCCACCTGAAGACTCGGCATCCACATCTTCAGCTGCTTTCCAGATGAAGTCCCACTCTGTTAAAGTCAGAAGATCCAGTCTCTGCAGTGTAGAGAGCTCTATGTTCTTTTCTGCAGAGATTTCTGTTTGCAGCCTCTTTATCTCTGAGTGTTTGCGTAACTCATGTTGGGCATTGCATTGACCCTGCAGCGTAAACGTGACGCTGGATGGGATTTTCCTTTATTTGCCCAGTTTATATGAGGGTGGGAAGTACGTTTGCATGTGTGCCGTCGTTGCTATGTATTGTATGTTTTGTTGTTGTGTACTGGGCTTATGATGGTACATTATTTTGCACAACTGGCAGTTTTTTTTTTTTAAATCTGATGTTCCCACATTTGTGTTGTGTAAGTTATGTCTTGATTTTTGTTTCCAACATTGTATATTGGATTGAATTAGATGCTTTAAAGAGCCATAAATTGCATATCAGTTATGTGGATTACATTTGAGAGTTTTAAATTGGATTTTTTTAATTTAGTTTTTAATGGGAATATGGAATAAATTTATTGTTTGCTATGAAAATGTTTAAAACACTTGTTGCTCTTGCCTCCCAAAAGATAACGTATTTCACTGTACTAGTGACTACATTTAGATATCAAACATATAAATCTTGTATTTTTTTTGTTTTTCCTCAGCTGTTTTATTGTTGCTGTATGAACATTGTATGTGTATGATTGGGATTTGGTGTATAGAGTTAATCTGCACTCTGTTAGATATAGTAAAGTACTATACAAAAGGACACACAATTAATCCGGTCATATGTTCTGAGAGGAAACAAGTAAAAATTTTAGAGAATTTGATTTACTATGCATAACTGCATTTGCTGATATTTAGCTGACTATTGGATTAGTATTCTGTTTATTATTGTATTAGTTAGTAGGTTCAAGATGCTTCTCTGACTTTAAGAAGAGCTGCGACAATGTGTAATTTTATATAAAATGTGCAGCATTTTTAAAATGGTACACCAGTAATTCTGCCACATTAACTAATGAAATTACAAGTAAAATTCAGTTACATCAATGTACTTAATATATTTGTACACAGATGGATTTGATGTGAAACTGTTTTAGTCACAGGATATAGTGGGAAACATTTGGTCTGACTTTGCTTAATGTGCAACCAGTGACCACATTTTTTAACAGTTTCCTAAAAAGGCTCTTCCTCTTTCAGATCTTCCAGGTTCCTTCGTCATATGTTGAATAATTCTCCCTTTCTGTTACACGGTGGTGGCATGTAACTAAGTACATTTACTCAACAACAATTTTGAGATACTTGTACTTTACTGCTACTTTATAGACCTATTTCTCCACTATAGATACATATACTACATTTGTCTGAAAACTGAAGTATCTTTAGGTACAGATTATGATACAGTACAATACTTATTATTAACGTATGATACATTGTTATATAGTAGATTAAACTAACGGCTTACAGGGTAGTAAAACTTACCTCCAGCTCAACCAGCTGCTAACATGTGAATGTATCAGTAATAATCTAATTATATGGTAAATATAACAATACGCCACTCTCAAAGGGGCCTCTCTGCCAAACAAGTATTTTACTTTTAATACTTTAAATATCTTGCCTATAATACTTTTATTCGTATGTTCAAAACAACATTTTGAATGCAGGACTTTTACTTGTATGTTATTGCTATTTTTACTTGAGTAAAAGATGTAGAGCATAAAGAAAAACTACTATAGTTTACAGTAGGCCAGTGTGTTACAGGTGTTTATCTCCTACAGGTGTGATGAGTTCATGGTTCTTGTCACCTGTTCAGTTAGAGAAACCAAATTAGGTAACCTATAATATGCTCCATGTTTAATTTTCATTGTAATTAATCTGCCTAAACTCCTGCAGAGGGGTGTGTGTGTGTGTGTGGTGCGTATATGTAGTTAAATCACACAGGGCTGGTGAATTTCACAACCTCTGGAGAATGAAGGTTTGTCAAATACAATACATAGAGCAAGAGACACAGAGGTTGACTGACGCTGTGGCAGTAATGTTACTTCTTCTCCTAGTAGGGAATAGAATAACTAAGGAATAAGTAACTTACTTACAATAATTAATTACAGCTCTAAAAAGTCACTGGAATCAGCAGCAGTGGGATGCAACTAAGTAGCCTCCTTTTACTCAAGTTACAATTTACAAGTTCCATTTTATGCCATTTTACTCAATTTCAAAGGCAAATATTGTACTTTTATAATATCCTCCAGCTCCTCCACTGTGGGAGTCAAGGCTGGATTAGCAACAGAGGAAACTGGACAATTGTGTCTTTTGGTTTTGAATTAATTACACATTTCTTGAGGAATCAGAACCGCCACAGTACAATATCAACTAAGTAGTATATTATAATTTAGTGGCCTTGTCTTGCAGACGGGCCCTGTGCTTACACAGTATATATAGTGGTTATAGCATATATAGGTTATAATGCTACAACTGCATTTCATTGTGCAAGCCTGTATTATATAATATTACCAAGATGAACCGTGAGTTGAAACTAAGATTAAATACATACAAAATAAACAAGAAAAAGAATAAAACAAGCATAAAAAGTGACATTTTTTCCCTATGAAATGTGGTTGAAATTAAATCTAAAGTAGCAACAAATGGAAATTTTAAAAAAAGTACAAAACTGCACAAAATCTGAGTAGCCTTTCAGTGTTTCCCAACATTTTTACTTAAGGGACGCTTTTTTATAACAGATAGTAAACTTAGTGTTAATATGTAACTTAGTGACATATTTTATGGATATCTCATATTATATTCAATGCATAACAATAACAGTACAGAACAACTGATAAACTGCATGAACCCAAATAGTTGGTAACATAATAACTGCAGGAAGTTTTATATTTTTAGGAACTTTTTATGTAATTTTGTTTTTTAACAATCATACATACTTTCTTCTTTTTTTTTTTTTTTACAAATTCAGTGTTTTGTAACCGTAGAAAAGAAAATGGAGACAGGAAAAATAGAAAATGGAAAGATTTTACCATTCAAAATGTGTCCTATACTCAGTGAATTTATAAAGTAAAACTGATGTATTTAAAATTTTAATCCTGCTAAATAAGACCCATTTTTACTAAATGTAACTGTAATCTGATTACGTCTTTTTTTCTGTAACTATAATGGATTACAGTTACCTTTTTTGTATCCTGATTACATAATTACATGTAATCCGTTACTCCCCAAGCCTAGTAGTAACGCATCCCCAAATTGAGCTATAAAAGGCTAGAGTAGCCTAAATATTCTCATTTAATATACAAATTACTAACTACCTGTTAAAAAAACATGAAGCCAGTAATCCAAGTATCACAACATGAAAGTAACATTAATGTAATTTACTTTCCTCTACTTTTGGATTACCTCAACACATAATATGTATAAAACCAAGAGAAAAGAAATGTCAACAAGAATATTGATAGAAGTGTATTATACAAGACAACCGAACAATGTAACCTTATTAAAGAAAATGGAAACAGAAACATTTTTAGCATTAAAAATGTGTCCTTGTCTTATTTATTTATTTGCAAAGTGTAATCCTGCTAAATAATCCCCATTTTTACTCAATGTAACAGTAATCTGTCTATGACGTGTCTTTCGGTAATGAGGATACAAAAAAGGTAACTGATTACATAACTCAGGTACATGTAATCAATTACTCCCCAACTCTGGTTAATTTAACCGATTATCCTTTCTGTGTAAAGTAAAATAGGTCTTTATGCCATGAAAAATAAGTTAATATGTGTAGAAACTAAAACTCAAAATAAAACTGTACCGTTAATTGTTGGAAGGAAAGTCAATTAATTACTATAGAAACTAAAACCGTACTGTTAACGTTGTAAGGAAAGTAAGTTAGTTACTATAGAAACTAAAACTGTACCGTTAACCATTGGAAGGAAAGTAAGTTAGTTACTATAGAAACTAAAACTGTACCGTTAACTGTTGGAAGGAAAGTAAGTTAGTTACTATAGAAACTAAAACCGTACTGTTAACGTTGTAAGGAAAGTAAGTTAGTTACTATAGAAACTTAAACCGTACCGTAAGTTAGTTACTATAGAAACTAAAACTGTACCGTTAACTGTTGGAAGGAAAGTAAGTTAGTTACTATAGAAACTAAAACCGTACCGTTAACCGTTGAAAGGAAAGTAAGTTAGTTACTATAGAAACTAAAACTGTACCGTTAACTGTTGGAAGGAAAGTAAGTTAGTTACTATAGCAACAAACACCGTACTGTTAACCAGCGGAAGGAAAGTAAGTTAGTTACTATAGAAACTTAAACTTTACCGTTAACCGTTGGAAGTAAAATACGTTAGTTACTGTGGAAACTGAAACGGTACCGTTACATGTCAAGTGAGTATTGAGTTGGTTTTGTGTCAGCAGCGTACACCGCTCGCTGTCAGAGGGGAGGGGACAGGACCGGACCGAAGAGAGGAGTGATTCTTTCAAAAATAGTACACTTCATCACCGAAGCAACCGGTACAGCAGCGGCAGCGGGCGGGTATGGAGGGTGTGAAACATGGTTCGCTACGGAAATAAATAACGGGACCGGGACGATATTATATTGATACCAAAGAGGAGGCCACAAAACACGGTGAAAAGAGGAAGCGGATATTTCAAGAGAGAAGAAGTTACAGCTAGCTGAAGTCAGTGCTGATGTATTTGTGGCCACGAATACCTGCCGAAAATAGTCCCGGTGAGTAAACCCGGTCTCACATAGTCTGCTAAAGGATATAACAGAGTCACAAAGACTAAAAGTTTAGATTTTTAAGTCGGTGTGAAGTTTGACTTTCAAATTGAATCTGATTTTGGAGAGAGTTAAAGAACACATTCATTTCGTGGGGGAACAAGGTGAACAGGGAGTTAAACTTTCTGCAATATGGCCGCTCAGATGTCACACAGCTTCCCTAGAAGTAGGCAGAACTAAAATGAGTTTTGACACAAGTCTTTGAAATTCATTTGAGCTCAACTTGTCCGATGAAATAAAGTACTTAAAAGTGGTCCGATGCGGTGTCCGTCTGTAGTGGACTGATAAGTCATGCCCACTTTTCAAATCAAAACTACTACTGGTGTTTGACGTGTGCGTAGCTGCGCTGTTCTCTATGGGAGGGACGTTGATCCATTCAAAAGTCTGCCAAGTTTACGTTACCTGTCCTGTCGCTAAACACACTGGCTTTGTGCAGTATAATTTAATACTTTTTATAAATCGTCAGGGTCCACTGCGAAATTCGGCACACTATATGTTAAGTGGGTCTAATTAATGTTAAGTATGCACATATATACACTTAAAATGCAACAAACTAAATGGAAACAGATGCTAAGTTAACTAGTAATTATATTATAATAGAATGCCAGTATTAGGGCAAATAAACCATTTAATCAGACCTGTTGGCTGAAAATCAATGGTTTAATGAATCATAAGTGCTTTAATGAATGATCAGGAATATAGTGAATCATTTTATATGACCTATGGGTTGGATGATTTATCACACAGCCTGTCAAAAGGTGTTATTAGAGATGGCCTAAGCATTTTTGGAGCTTCCCCCATAGTGTTATTAGTATGTTTCTAATATATCATTATCAGGCTCTTCATGAATCATTTCCTGTCCCTCATTGAATATTTGAACCCTAAAGGTAGAGGGTGGAGAACTCAAATGTTATTTTCTTCCTGTGACTTTAAACCAAACAAACCCAAGTATCCCAATTTAAATACAAAATGTAGGTGTTTTCTCTTTCAGCAGCTGTTATTTTGACAGTTAAAACGTGCACAGACCCTTAACCTAGCAGCTCTTTATTTATTTTACTTGTTTTACCAGCAGCTAAAGATCAAACACGAGGGTCAAGTTCATTAACAGTGCAATTATAGGCTGTTACAGAAATGCCATGTAAAAATCCAAACCCTACAACAAAAACAAAATTTGTATATTTTAAAGTCTGTGTCCAGTCAGGTTGCAGACTTTTGCTAACAGTTGCTTCCTGTGGAGGAAAGTAAAAAGAGAGAGATCACAGTAACTGATGGGCTGCGTCCTAAACTGTCCCCCGAGGGTCTTTTACTTTTTCCCTGATTGTGTACTTTAATTGGGCAGTGGGCGATTCGTTTACATCTTTAAAAGGCCAAAATGAGAGAAGCGTCCCACTTTTCCTGGCTCCCACCACCCGGCACATGATAACCAGGTATAAAAAAGTATATGTATGTATGTGTGCTAGCTTCTCCAAACAGGTTTTTTTTTTAAAAGCTTAGTATTTCATCTGATTTACTTGCAGAGAATTGTTAGTGGTTTCTTCTCCACAGCCTTTTAATTCATAACATTTCATCTCAGTGTCTCCATATGGAAAGATTTTAGTTGTTGATTTATAGTAGTGCTGATTGCGGTACTGTCTCCACTGTGGGTGTGGAGATAATAGCTGTGAGGGTGAAACCTGTGATTAGAAGGACAGTCATTCCTATCCAGCTTCTAGTTTATATAATTTCTCTAGAGTTAAATTATAGTGAAATTTAAGTATTCCTCATTTTGCACGCAGGAGCAGTTGAATGGCCCTCCGATACTCCTGACCTCAGAGCTCTGTACTCGTTCACTGTTTGGTATGTTTGATGCATACCGAGTTAATGCTCAGGTAGCTTGCAGAATAGCAGTTAAGTCGTGTAATGACAGAGAAGTTAAGCTTAGGCAAAGAGAGACCAGTTTTTGTCATTGTAAGTTTGTATAACAGCTTGTTTTTAATTCCTGTCATGGCTCTCTTAGGTCACTGATACTATACTACCTTCAGTCTATCTGCTGTAGAGACTTAATCCATTCCAGTATAAATACTTAGATTATTGCTTCTACCTCACAAAAATAATATGACTTGTTTTAGAATTACTAGTTCAAGGGCAAAGAAATTAGCAAATGAGAAGATTAAAGCTAACTGAGAAACCCTGCTTTGGAGGGGTTTTGTTGTGGTGATGAGACGTTGAGTTGAATTCTGGGACCTTTTGTCTTAAAATCCCTGAAATATTTTGTATGAATCTGCAAGCTGGTTGCACATATTGTGGAATATTTCAAGTCAGTCAGCCTGCAAGATTAATCTCAAACAATCAAACATTTTTACTCTGTTATACACTCTGGTTTCTTCATGACAGTAAACACAACTTTCACTTCCTCTTTCTTCTTGTTTATGTTTCTCTTGTACCGTCTTCCTGTATCTTTTATCATATTAGTTTCTCACTCTTCCTTCCGTCTGACTTCTTAGTACATCTTGATTTCTCTCTGCTTTTCTTCTTCTTATCTTCATCTTCATTTCCTGCTGTATTTCTCTCTATCTCTATGCATCGCTCTCTTCATTTCATCCTCTCTTTCTTTGCAGTTGGCATGGCCACCTTACAGTCCTTTGGGCATACCAAACTCCCCACCCAAAAGCCAGATATGTTCAGGTTTCAGTTCTACACTTAAGTCGACTTTGGTTCCAGCTAGGGAGGCATGACATTGGAGTTTTGCCAGCATTCGATATGCTGCTATTTTCCAGCTCATTTTGTCCAATTGCTGATGTATGCACATATTTTGTCAACCTAATTGCAGAGAACATCAAGGCTCTCCTGCTCTGGAATTAACATATTACACCTACTCCTATTGTGATGGAGACATAAAACTGAAAGATTCTTCCTACGTTATCAGGCTCGAATGATCCAATCCTGATAACAACAGAGACTGCCTTAATCACTGCAAGTAGCAACTTAACTATCCCTTTCAGCCTGTCATATCTGAAGAAATTGCCCATGCTGATGTTTCATTTTAAAGCCTTTATATGCCAGTATCCTAATGCATCCCTAGTTCCAGCCAGTTTGTGTAAATGTACATGTGAGGATGTCTGATGATGGGACACACACACAAACGTTACTACAGCATCAGGCATTTAGACAGAAAACAGCACTGTCACTGTAAAACGATACAAGGGTCTGCATTGGTGGGGCCACGTTGCTTCAGGTGCTTGTAAGACAACAAAATACAATCCAGGAAGGCTGGTTTGAGTAATATATCCATGAGTCTGAAGGCTTTTCAAATGCCAAATAAATTCAAAGTGATTTAAATTCACTACAAGTAAAGTTATCATGGCAACAATTGTTCTAGCTTTTTTGTGTCAATCACCAGATAAACTGTAGAAATACTAGTAATCTATCAAGAATGTGTGCTTGTAAGCATTTTATCGGCCTAAGCAGCATCTCGCTGGATGACGTTGCATCTTTTTGCCAAAGCCCAGTGTGTAACCTGGCACACATGCCCGCTGTGTCAACGCTCATTAATTTCCCATCAAAATGAATAGGGGAGCTGTATTTCTTCATGCACTGCTTCATCACCCGTCTGAATGCGGTCTTGGAAAGCTTAAAATTAAAATAGGGAGAGTTTGCATTTTTCCAGTCTGGGTATATTAAAATCACTTAAAGTCACTAGTTCCACCAATTATTGTGGAAGATCCTTAGTGCCAGCTCAGGCTTGGTGTCATGTTTTATTTTAAGTCCATCTTGGGTGTGGGTGGAATAGGAACAGGTTTGTTGGGGTTTCGGTACAACTATTTGGACCTGTAAACACCTCTCCACCATGTCTCCACCTCAGAACACGCTATAACTTCTAGACCGGTCCTCTAAACACCCTCGGCATGCTAGCTGTCCATCTAAAATGTGAAACCAAAGATGTGCTGCTTCTCTTTTTATCTGGCTGGTGACAACCCTGGGGTCATGCCTGGTCGGTCGGGTCGTCTCTATGGCAGCACAGGGATCAAAGGTCAGGAGTGAGAGATTGGAGAATCAGGAGGAGAAGCTTTTGGTTTGGGTTCAACCTGCTTGTAATCGGTGCCTTTAAAAATGATTTTCTGTGGAAAAGTTGCACTAAGAAAAGTTAAGATAGTTTCTTTTTAATATCAGCGTGGCTTTATTACAGGACTAAAGCAAAACACAGTTTAATATTTTTAAATTTGAGCCTTAATGCTGTGATATTAACATGTACTGTAACTGTATTCTTCAAGGTGTAAAAAACTCTATAAATAAGTTTTTAGACCATCCGTTTGTGTTGAAACTATTTGTTTAGTCATTTGACAGAATATTAATCTGTTCATTGTATGAACATCTTTGGATTTTGGACAGTTCATCAGACAAAACAAGCCATCTGCAAATACTTTTACCCTCTGAAGACATATTCATGCATGCTTGCAGCAGCATATTGGACTCAGTTTGGGTTATTAAGGCCTCCAGTAATCAAACTGTAGAGACTTTCCTTGTCCTCAGCTAAAAGGTCTCAGCTTTTTATTTAATACCTAGTCACAGTTTATTTGGTCTCCATTATGCCTAAAATGTTTCAGGACATTTGAAACATTTAAGGCAAACCACCAGTAATGCAGTCAACTCTTCAAAATCCCCAAACGTCGAAGTTTCTCAAATTCCTGAAACCTTAACTTTAGAAAAAAAAAATCATTTGGAAAGTTGCTGCAGAGCATTTGGAGGGATTTGTGGGTTCTGCCAATAAGCCTCATCTGTTTCATGTGTCACAGTACTGGGTTGTTTGGAGCAGTGGTTCTCAACGTTTTTGTATTTGATAAGATGTAGTCTTAAGATTATAAGATTTAGTTATCCCATAACTGTCTATACTGTAGATAGATAGATGGCAGATTAACAGTGAAGAGTGTGAAACCTGTGAAGAAAGTACTCATTACTATACATTCTCTCATTGGGCTGATCTTCAGTCAATGACAAAATATTTAAATTAAAATATTCTACATTTCTCTGGAGACCCTATGGACCGCGGGTTGAGAACCACTGGATTAGAGAATAAATGGAGCTCAGAGGTATTCCAGCAACGTCAGTGTCTAAAGTTGCAGCATACTGTATATCATGTAAAAACACACACACTGGTCAGGTCCTGTCAGAGCAGACAGTGAGAATAGCGAGCAGCTGCAAATGGTAATGTGGTCATGTGGCATGCATGGCGTGTGTGTGGTGTGCAGAAGGTGGTAAACACCCTCTTACCCCTCTTTAGTACCACCTCGCCTGCCTGACGCCCGTTTCAGTGATAGTGTGTCGCTCCGTCTTCTGTCCCACACAGCACTTAAGTTTGTGGATTCACCTACAGAACACAGCGGTGAGTTAAGTGTGGGTGTTGATGCAGTTTTGCCTATAAAATCTGGCCTGTAGTTTGCATGTTTTAGACTGCGAGCAACTGATTCCTAAGAACAGGTGTGTATGTGAGTGTGTGAGAGAGTACGGGTTGTGGAAGAGATAGTGTGTGTTTGTCTTCAGGGCCATTTACCTTTCAGGTGTTTGGCCTACAAAGTGTAACCACTGTTTAAATATACTGTGTGTGTGTGTGTGTGTGTGTGTGTGTGTGTGTGTGTGTGTGTGTGTGTGGTTAATGCACAGGTGCACTGGTTGGGTGGTCTGCACTGATGTGACGCCCCTCATACACACTCAATCACACACACACACAAACATCCTGTGGTGAACACAGAGAGAGAAGTAAATGTTGATGAGCCTGAAAATAATATTTACATTATGTAGTCATGCATTGTTACTTGAGTAAATGCATATGCAGTACTCATGTATAGGGCTACAGCAGGCAGTTATCTTATCATTATCCACTAAGCTGTGGTCTGTTTTTTAAATAAAGTCAAATCATTTATACCATAAAATGGCAGATATTCATGTACCAAAACTGTTAAACACACCAGGTTTGGATTAAAATCTTTAAATAAAGGACACAGTGCTTAGAAAGTATGAAGGTTCCTAATCCGAATCGTCAGCCACACTTATTCAACAAGTGTGAGACTGAACAAAAACCTCAAATTCTTCTCTCATATGTCAACATGTCTGGTGATAATGTGATAGCAAACAGCACATTTTAATTATACTATAGGCTTATAGGATAGCCTTGTGTCACTGCTTTTTTATGTGTGTGTGTTGCTACTTTTTGAGTGTCCATCTACAAGATAATAAAATATTTGCTGTACGTATCAGTTGTCTGTGATGTCTATCTGTCCTCCTTGTGACACCTGCTGACAGGATGTAACCATTTGCCTCTTGCAGTTTGTTTTGATTGGTATTCAGACTGGATGTAGTTCACGTCCAACTCTCTCAAGGGTTTTCGGTACATTCACACCCAGTTGTTAAAGCTGTCTTTGTGAATTCAGCTTCCTTCATTTACAGTTAATGCACAGAAATATAATTAAAATGCAGAAATATCCCATGTTTTGTCCTCATTGTATCCATGGGCCTTGAGTTGTAGACTTGAGACAATATTTAGATGCTTTGTTGTAGGAGAGTGTGTGAAACCATTATATTTGTTATGTTTTGTTTGGGGAGGAAATTGTTTGTTAGTTGCCAGCTGTTCTGCATTTGCTGTCCTTTCTAATGTTTTTCAGCAACAACAAAAGATGGTACAGAAACACAAAGGAATTGATGGCATTATTACAAATTGTCAATTTGGCTTTTACAGAATATATTCAGTGCATATGTCAAGAAGAACATGGTATTGATTAGGCCTGAGCAATAAAACAATAACAATGACAATCCACAGGAAGTCCACAATGGAGAGGTCCTCAGCAACAATACCGTATGACAAAGCATTAACATTAAAAGTTTTACCTGTGACCGTTGATAAATAAAATGGTTAAATTCAGAATAAAGTGGTTGAATTCAAAATAAAATGGTTTCATTCAACCTTTTTTTCCACCTGGTCTTTACTAAAAATAGGTAATTAAACATTAGCCCCAGCCCTAGTACTGATTGACTACAAAATAACACTGAAATAACCTTAAGTGATCCACAATGTGTCAAGCAGTGATGTGAATTGATAAGGTTGACCGCAGCAGAGTCATATCTGTGATAGCCCACAAAAAAATAATACTCTTTAAAACAGAGCAACCTGCCATAGCTGAAAGTGAAAGTGTGAATACTTAAGTCAGAAAATGAGGAGCTGATAAAACATGACAGATAGAAATTCAGTATTAAAGGATGTTCAGCTGTTTAAGGTGAGCTACAATCAGAGAGGACCCTTCATCATATCAGACAGATTACATAACTGACCAGAATTTATAAAAAGAAAAATGTAATAAAAATTGCTTTTGATGTCAGTCAAACTTGTGCAAAGGTCTAATGAGTGTATAGAGATGTAGGAGAGTGTGTGCTGCACTGGTTGTGTTTAATGTGTGTCTGTCTCAGAGTGTGTCCTCTGCTGTCCCCAAGAGCCTTTGACATTATTGTCCCCACACTGAAAAGACTTTTGAAATTGCCTTTCTCTTCTCTCTGTGTCTCTCTGCTAGACGTCCTTTATTGAGGCTCCTCTGTCCTGTGTGACCCCCTGACACAGAGAGGTATGACCACACACACACACACACACACCACTCACTCACTCACACACCCACATTATGGAGATGCAGAGGGACTGTGCTGAAGTTGGTGGAAGAGACTGAGAGTGTATCTTCTGGTTCAGAGTGTGTGTATTCAGAGCAGTGTGTGTTGTTTGTGTGTTTGTTTCCGTAAAGCTCAGCAAATGTCAGCCACAATAAAACACCATGGTGCAACAGCAGTGTGCATTGCCACCCACACAAACATAGAAAAGAAACACACATGCGGTCAGCTGTATATACCTCTCTACTTCTGTTCTCTCCCTCTGTCTCTATACTGTCTATAGCTGAGATTGTAACCACCAGAGTCAGTCATCAGTTGCACAGACTGTAGGGTTTAGAGTATGTGGGAGCTTTTTGTTTACACTGGAAACATATATACAGGTTCACTGCTTATTATGATTCAGGAAAATAGGTTTTTGTTGTGTGAACAAAGCTCTTTGTCATAATTATCACCTCAACATATAATCCAAGACAGAATCATTTTATAAGCAATGTGGTAGTAAAGCTTTTACTTTTCTACCCACTCAAATAATGTAATGGCGTTTGTATTTCAAGGGAGTGCAGTATTGTTCTGTCTGTCGGGTGGTCGGTCCTAAAATATCTTGTATCACATCCCTCAACCTTTCATCTAGTGCCACCATCATGTCACTTTGTGCTTAGTGCTAATTAGCAAATGTTAGCATGCCAACACGCTAAAATAAGATGGTGAGAATGATAAATATTATACCTGCTTAAGATCAGCATATTTGCAATGTATCATTGTGACCATGTGACTGTTAGCATTTAGCTCTCAGATTGTAATTACAATGTCATACAAACAAAAAGAGGCCTACAAATATATTTTTTTTACTTTTTTATAAATTGTCAGAAATGGTGCAGACTTTCTTACTTGATGTTTTTTTTTCAGAATATCAAACATCGATGCTGTTGCTTAGCTACGTAATATGATGTATGTTGATAAGAGGAGATGCAACTGTAAGTCTACTTTTGACAAAAAACCTGTAAACCACAAAATCTATTAGACGTTGGCCCTCAGCTGCTAATAAGAACTTTGAAATCAGAACGCGTAATTTGTTAACTTCTAATTGAGATTATAAGAAAAGTGGAAAGGATGTTTTACTTAGTAAGCCTAGAGCTGCTTCAGTGTGATTTTGTATGTTTACCTTTTTATCAAAAGCAATATTTCACTTTATTGTTTTGAGTGAATTTTGGTCGGGTAGCTGCAGGTGAACCATTCATTTATAGACCTGGGTGATCCTGATTTGGACATCACTTTCTAAAACATTTTTTGGATTAATTTCCTGTGACCAACCTTTGTACTTCGACCCAGTGATTGGGAAAACGGCAGCCAAGCTGCTCCTGGCCCTCTGACATAGTTGGGGGTAATTGCGGGAAGGGTAATTATATCTAAGATGGTTTTAAGCGAGTTAAAAAAGGAAGCAAACCTCACAGACCAAATGTTCCTCCGTGTCAGCTATTCACAGACAGACAGACATAGACAGACAGACGGGGTGTAGTTGTCACTAAGGCCAGGCTGGAAATAACAATTTACTCACCATGGGAGTCCGATGCAGTAACTGGTGAGACTTCTGGACACAGTCATAGCTCTTTTTTGGCTCATGTTAACGTCCAATCCAAACAGCTCTCCAGTGAAGTCATAATTAGAATCAATAAAACTTCTGAGCAACAAAGTTTTCATTGACTCAAATACACCCACCTGTTTAGCTGCTTTATGGTTGGCTGGCCTTTAAAGGAATAGTTCGGCATTTTGAAAAACGAGCTTATTCACGTTCTGGCTGAGGTTAGCTTAGGTTAGCATGAAGACTAAATGGGGAAACAGCTAGCCCAGCTCTTTCCAACAGTAACAAAATCTGCCTACCAGCACCTCTAAAGCTCACAAATTAACACATAACATCTGGTTCATTTCATTTGTACAAAAACACAAAGCATAAAAAGGATAATTTAAGATTATTTATCTTTTCTGGCAGGACGCCAATAACTTATTCCACAAACTTGCTGTAACACATAATAATTTATCTGCTTTATTCAAGGACATCTTGATACTTGAGGACAGTGTTGGCAGGAGGACAAATACTCAAAATGTTATACTTGATTCCTAACATCAGCAAGATGGGAGGGTCAGGATCGGGAAGTCTGTTGTTTTCCCTGTTGTCAGTGTGTCCCAGTTTACAGGTGCATTCACATACATACAAAGAGCCAGGATACCTGTACACTCGGAAGAGATTCAGATCTCAAACAAGCTGGTTGTAGTCATTAGTTGTACCTCGACCAACCAAGACCAGCTCCATTTCCAGTGCAGATCCAGAGCTGCAATGCCAATAAATCTTTAAAAACCTTGGCATCAGTATTGTTTCTGTAATATTAGATATTGGAAGGGTATTTTCAAGCAATAAATGCCAAACATTTATTGGTGAAAGCTTCTTAAATGTGGGAATTTGCTGCTTTACTTTGTTTTAATGTGATCGGAAACCGAATGTGTTTCCAATTTGGACCATTGTATTACATCACCAGAGGCTTTTGGGAATTTTACACTATTTCCTGACATTTCACAGACCAAGTGATTAGTCAAGAAAGTAATCTTAATCAGTAAGGAAAACAGTTGCAGCTGAATTGTCAGGCACCATTAAACAATATAATGAGGCCGACTCTCTCTTCCCTGTAGTGGCAGTGTGCAATGAAAACAACTGCTGAATATGTAAAATATCTGCTCAGTGCTACAGATTCAGTCGTAGACAGCTTGCTTGTTCATCCAAATATCTGATTGTACCGTTACCTGCTGTGCTAAGCTCCTTATCTACTCCTGATGTAAACATGTTTGATAGTTTCATCCACATTTTCTTTTTCAGTAAGAGATCAAGATGGGACTGACAAAGGTTGAATAGTGTCTTACTCAAGGACACTTTGAGCAAGTGGTAGGACTGTCGCTGTAAGTTGTCGACAGAGCACATTTGGATTAGAAGAAAGAAAGTTACACTTGACTATCTGGTATCAACAGCCTCTGGAGTGTGTGTGTGTGTGTGTGTGTGTGTGTGTTGTGTGTCTGTGTGTGTGTCTGTGTGTGTGTGTGTGAGGAATAGCAGTGAAACTGTTGTGTGAAGATGTATGAGAATGTGAGAGAGAGTGTGTGTTACTGAGTGAGTGTGAGAGAGAGAGTGACTGAAAGAAAGGAGGAATCCTTCTTTTGTCTAGATGAAGCATGAAGTCTCCTGGGAAGCTTTCAAATCCTCTCTGGAATGTGTGTGTGTGTGTGTGTGTGTGTGTGTGTGTGTGTGTGTGTGTGTGTGTGTGTGTGTGTGTGTGTGTGTGTGTGTGTGTGTGTGTGTGTGTGTGTGTGTGTTGGGGGTTGGTTTGTCACCACATTTATACAAGGAATGCAAATATTTGTATGTGTGTGTGTGTGTGTTTCAGTTTTGTGGTGTAGTGTAACTGTTACCATGGTGACTGATATCCTCTGGTGTTTTCTGTGTCACCTGACAGAAGTGGTTGACAGCTGTTCTTTCTTTCTTTCTTTCTTTCTTTCTTTCTTTCTTTCTTTCTTTCTTTCTTTCTTTCTTTCCAACCCTCTCACTCCCCCCTCTCTCTTCTTCTCTGTACCCTTGTTAAGTTGTCTAAATGGCAGCCCTACAGATCAGATTTCATCAGCTGCTCTCATTAATGTGTTTATTTACCAAGCACTCCAGTCATCCTCTGGTGGCCCTGAATTTGACTCTGAGCCCGCCTTGAGCTTGTGTTTGCGGGTGGGTGTGTCGGTATGCATACAGTAGACCTGTGTGTAAAAATAAAGGTTACAGTTGGACAGTGCCTGCCTGGTTTCTGGTGTCATGTTTTCCGTCCATTTTCTATAGTTTATATAATTGTAACAGTGTTTTAAAGTTTTAAGTATGTTTTTCAAATGTTGGACAAATCACGCCTGTCAGAAACATAGAGAACAGTTCAAGAATCGATTGCTGTTGGTTTTTGAAGTTGTTGTCCATACTTCCTGCAAAAGACCAAAACGGAAATGTGCTGCGTCAGCGCCAAACAATGCTCACACAAGCACAGTGTACATGGGAAAAAATGAGATGGTCACTGTGGGTGAAAATGAAGTTTAAGCTAATTCTGGTACAATACACCAAATAGTAACCATTTAGTTACTGTTTTACATGGACCATAAAATAAAACAATAGATAGCAACACTTATGATTTCAAATATACCAACTAATAACTTACAGTATTTGGAAGCACCGATAGCTGTGATCTCTCCGGAGGTCAATCCAAATGTCCACGCAGCAAGAAACTGAAGAGACTGATCTTAGCAGCACTGAATCATTATTTTATTTTAATTTCTTTACAGGCTAAAATCTCCTTACTGGAGGCTAGAAATGTTTGTGCTGAGTTTTCCTGCTGTTTTGTGTTTTGTTCAGGATGGTGATGGAGGAGGGGGGGCAGAGAGACAGAGGGAGGGGGACTCCAGCAACAGCAGGAGCAGAGGGGAGACAGATCTTCATGGAGCTTGGTGAGTCGATCTTTGAGTGTACCTAGGACAGATTTTCTCATCACACCTTTACCATTTATTTGATAGTTGTTCTGTGCTTTAAAATGAAAGAGCACACACATCTCTGAAATGTTGTTTTTTCATTTGGATTGTGTTCTTGTATCACTCCATCAATAGCACTCTGAGGACAGGAGGTTAATTCTGAGCGGTTATGGTCTGAGATTGATGAGATTGTTACAAGCCCAGAGATTTTTTCTCCATTGCGTATGCATAGTGACCCAGCAGAGCTTATAAACTTCTTCTTTTTGTCACAGGGGAGCAGAACTTTGATGCCATTTGTCTCTCTACATATCGAACAGCCTGCAAGCTCAGATTCATACAGAAGAGATGCAACTGTAAGTCAACCCTGGTCTTCTTCAGCATACCAATATTAGATATTAATGACATGACAGTTAGAATTTTAGTCTGTTGCAGTTTTAATGACACTTCAAAGTGTTATTACAGAGATCTTTTATATCAAAGATGTTTGGGATATATAAATGTGTATATGTGACAAAATAAGATTAAAATGTCAGCCATGTCCCTTTTAATTCAAGTTACTTTTTGTTGACGCGAGTGGAATTATTTCAAAAATACTGTCACTGCTTTTTTACTATAAGAGGGAACAATGTTTAAATAGTAGCTAAACGGGTCCAAATCTTTTAGTCCAAAATATTTGAACTCTACATATTGTGCTATGAACATGCATAGCAACCTCCCTCTGCTGGTTGAAACCCAGTTGAATTACATTATTGGCTGATTTGGAGGCAGGTGACAGCCCCTGCTTCTATAAAACCAATACCGACAGACTGTAGCTGGGAGGGAGGGAGCTAGGGGTTAGGGGTTTAGTTACACTTTAAGCTTAAAAACCAATACGTGTGAAGATTTAATTATCTCCTCTCATTCCAGTGCATCTGATCGATATATACAATGTGATTGAGGCGGTGCGGGACGCTGGTCTGAACGCTGTAGAGCTGAACGCCGGCATCTCTGTGACCCGACTGGAGAACTTGGTGTCCTCCCTGTTCAACCAGCTCAGCAAGCGCCTGCCCACCACACACACCGTCAACCCGAGAGAGAGCACCGCCCTGTTAGTCGAATTCTTACTGGCTGCCATTGACAGGTAACTATAGAGAAATTTGTGGATGTTTAGGAAGAAAATTCGAGTTTTTGGATTCCCACTTTTTGCACTTTCTGTTGTTTAAATGTGAAACACGTGTGATCGTTTGACATGTAGTTTTATGTAAAAGTGAGGATGCCATATACTGTACTATAATATCATATGTTTTTGTTTGTGTGTTTGTTTCAGTGAGCCAGACAGCCGTCTGACAGTGCTCTCTGTGAAGGCGATGTTGGCCATGCTGTGTGGAGGGAAACTGGTTGATAAACTCCGCTGTGAGTACCAGTTGATACCATCACGACTGACAGATCAGTGATCTTGCATTTCCCAGAAAATGGGCTTGAACTTACTAATTTAACCTGTAGGCTTTGGGTGTAAAAACAAACAAAAAATAGTGATAATGATAGAATAACAAGAGGACGCTCATTAATCAACATTGATTATAATGTAAATATGCGTAAGTTAGCATGATTTCACAGTCATTCAAATTGTTATCGTGTATTTTCTTCTACGTACAGTATGATCACAGCTTTAGGACATATTACTTACCCACATTTTTACTGCCATTTATGTCTAATACAGGGTGTCTGTAGGGTCTTAAAAAGTCTAATATTCAATAGATTTTAGGCCTTCAAATGTCTTAAATATGATTTTGATACTTACATACATACTTTTTTTGCCAGTATGGATGTGAAATAGGTCTTAAACTGCATTCAGTCTTAAAAAGTCTTAGATTTAACCTGTTGAAACCTACAGAAATCCTATAATAATTTACTTACTGTTTGTAAGGGTCCCTCAATCTTTCAGTCTGAATGTATGGAGCATGTACGGAGATATACACATGTCACATATTCGCCACCTTGTGGAAACTCCCTACAAAGGTAACCATTCAAATTTAGGTTAAGATTTAGTTTTTGGTTAAAGTCAGAGTTTGGTTAAAGGTTGGGGTGAGGCATGTTGTGTGGATAAGGTTATGGTTGGGATTAGTTAGTAAACTGGTGTAATTTAATTCAAGCTCTTCTAATTGTGTTTTGTGCATGTGTGTAGATGTGTTTTCTCAGGTATCTGACTCAAGCGGCGTGTTGGTTCAATCCAAGTTTGATGGTTTTCTGAGGGAGGCTCTCAAGCTGCCCACCGCTGTACATGAAGGACCGTCCTTTGGCTACACACACACCTTAGCCCGCTCATGCTTCCCACAACAGGTACGCTTACACACTTAATCTATCTGTCCTTTATTATATACATATATTTCATAGTTTATTGTAAACTGGTTTTTCTCTATTTTCTTGCTATTTGTAATAACGGTATTAAATAATTTCTTTCTCCGCAAAGGATTTTAAGAACTGAATCTGATTCTAATGGATAATTTTTGTGACTTTTTCTGTGACCCTGAAGAGTTTTTTTCTTTTGTTATTGTCGTCGTTGTTGTTGTTGTAGAAGAGAGTGATGCTCAACATGTTCCTGGACATTGTAGCTGACCCTCCTCAGTGTCTTGTCTGGCTGCCTCTCATGCACCGCCTGGCCAACGTGGAACATGGTACACACATTCACACACGCACCACAGATATACACACAAACACATCAACCGGCCAATTTTTATCGGCTGATATTTACTTGCACTGAAGGAAAGTAAATTAGCAGCAATGCGTGTTTTCATAGGCTGCATTTTTACATACTGGGCCTTCAATATAATTGGGTTTTTTTTCTATTTTTTAAGAGAATTTTAATTCCCAGTAAACTTTAATGTTCAGAATTAATTTTAAAAATATTTTACAGCAACATACGGTGACATCAGATGCTTCACACATTTTATCACACTTCCGATAAAACTAATATAAATAAATAAATATGTAACACATTTTCAGATCTTCATTATTGTCAACTATTTATCAATATTGGCCTCAAAAGTAAAGTTTCAGTCTGGCTCCAGTTACATTGGATCTTTTTCTGACCTTCTTCTGTATCAGGAGACCAGTTGTGTCTCTTGATCAACCTGTAAAACTATCACTGACAGATTCTGTCTCACGTCTCTCTCTCTCTCTCCCAGTCTATCACCCCGTGTCGTGCTCCTACTGTCGTGGCAATGGTATGACAGGCTTCCGCTATCGCTGCCTCCGTTGCCGCGGTTACCAGCTCTGCCAGAACTGCTTCTGGCGTGGCAACGCCAGTGGCTCTCATAGCAACCAGCATCAGATGAAGGAGCACTCATCCTGGGTGAGTCACTCTGTGATTGCTCATTCATCACACCAGGGGGCACTCTGTGTGTGTGTGTGTGTGTGTGTGTGTGTGTGTGTGTGTGTGTGTGTGTGTGTGTGTGTGTGTGTGTGTGTGCTCTTGGACCTCAATATTTGTGAGGACCACTTACATTTTAGACACTTGTGGGGCACTTGAAAAGTAAGACATGACATGGCAATCTGGTTTAAAACAGGTTTTATTATAAAAACATTCACTGTGAATGCACAACAGATCATCACATTGTGTCCAAATCTTACCTTTGATAAATCTGGACTGGGAGTCAGTAGCCAGACAGGTGTATTTCTATTCAAATATTAGCTTCTTGCTAATTAAGATGTATTTATTGCCAAAAATCTGAATTTAAGTGTCACAATCCTACAAAATGATATTGCAAAGAAGCTGCACAAGCCTGACCGGCAAAGAATGTTTTCAATGAAGAAATTATGTATTAATAGATGGAAACATAGTTGTTGAATTATTCATCACCCAGCCATGGCATAATTTGTCTTATTAATGTTTCAGTTTCAGGGATAAATGTCTTCACTTATGCAGCTCCTGCCTCTCCAATAGAATCTTCTCATCACAGGAAACTCATCCTAATAATCCTCAGCAGACCTATTTATTTATGACATATTTAACCTTACACTTCCAACAGGATTCAGCTTTGGGCTTTATTTTATTCTCTATTTATCTGTTTCACTTCAGCAGAGTAGCACTAAAACGAAACATAGTTATATGTGGTATGCTGCATGTTAAAATACAACACAACAGTTCTTAATAATACATAAGTATTCATGTAAATGAACAAATACAAATAAAAGGTGCTTCAAATAATATATATATTTTATGTATTTTCGTAGCGATTTATCACCCACATGTCCGCAAGGATTTCCTGGAGAGAAAATATTACACTAGCAGTACTGTAGCGGACATGAGAAAGAAGAGCAGCTGGCAAGACTCAACAAGTCTGATACCATCAAACTTAGATCCACAAAAAAGTACCAAAAGGTTACAGATTTTATCGGGGGAAGATTAGCTTTTTTATCCATGAAGTGTGTGTAACATTTAGGAGGATCTATAGGCAGAAATTAAATGTAATATTCATAGGTAGGTTTTCATTAGTGTATAAACGCTTGAAAATGAGAATTGTTGGGTTTTTGTTACCTTAGAATGAGCTGTTTTTAATGCAGCGTGTCGCCTTCTGTGGCAGCCGCCGTGTGGAACCACCATATTTCTACAGTAGCCCATAACAAACAAACCAAACACTGACTGTAGATAGGGCTCTTTGCATTTTTTTGTGCGTTTCACAGCCACCATAGTTTCTCCCTCGCACTTGGAAAGCGAGGATGAAGTGAGTGAGTTGCAATCTGAAACTTCACCACTAGATGCCACTAAATCCTACACTCTGGACCTTTGACATTGATGTAGAAAATATCTTTGTTCTAAATGTCAAAAAAGGTTTCATGAATGTTGACTTGACATTTGTGTGTCTGTATGTATGTGTATAGAAGTCATCGGCGACAAAGCTTGGCCGAGCCCTGAGCAGGACTCTGGGCTGTGTGTCATCCAGAGAGCCCTCTCATCCAATTTACCCAGAGGAACCTGAGAGGACCCTCAACCTCGCCAACATAGTGTAAGACCTCACAACACTTTGATAATTGACACAAGAGTTACTTAGGAATGGTTTATTTAAAGCCAGCATGTTTAACATTTGACTAAGAAAGAAATAGAAAAATGTTGAATTTATAAGGATGCAGCTACAGCCATTAAATTGTTGGGTACAATCAGGGCCTAATGTCAGATAATGTAGATATTTAGGAGTCCAGGAGTCTGAGTTTATGAGTTTTCTAAGTATGTGCTACATTTATGTTAGTTCTTAGCTATCACAGAAACATTTAGCTGAAGAAAACCTGAATTGACCAGGAATTAAATAAAGCAGCTGACTCAAAAAGGGATTTAGGGATTTTAGTGAAATTCAATGTGCCATTATTCTGTAATTACCGCTCATGGCCACAGTGGTGGCAAAAGTTACATAGTCTTGCATTTAGTGGCATTGAAAACAGCACTGTTATTTCAACAATATGGATGGAAACAGTGTCGCATGATATTTATAAAGTCAAGGTTACAGAAGTAGGACTTAGCAATATGCTTCAATCTTTATAACTTGTTTTTATTACAATTTAATTGGGATCATCAACAAAATGTTATAAAATTGTAACACAATGTGATCCCATTGAATGCTATTCCTCTGAAAAACTATGTGCAATAGTACAGAATGATTGCCCAGTCCTACATGGAAGTACACATAATGTTAATGCCACATAAAACACTACTTAGTGTTCAGGTCAGTCAGGCGGTTGAAGAGCTTTGTAGCTTTCTAATGGGAATGTTAACTCTGAAAACAGTTACTTGTATTGCAGAACAGGAAACATTTACCACCAAGCAGCAGACTAAAATAACATTTTAGTCCGTTATCACTGGTACAGTTACATGTACATACAAAGTTCAGATAACAGGAGACCTCTAAAGTCCCACCTCTATATCCAACCACTGTGGTTGCTCCACCCCTTGTGGTGGATCCACACTGTTTGATTTTCCCAACCATGACAGACTGGGTCATTACAGACCTCCATGCACTGGGCACATATTCAGGCCAGCACACAGAGACAGCACTTAGCACAGCTGTGAGTATGCGTATAATGATGCTGCATCAGGTTTATTCCTCTCAAACATGCCTTTTCCTGAATTTCTGTCCTTTTCCCTTTGGCTTGCATTCGCTCTCTTTCTCTCCCTCTGCTGATCTTTGCCCTGCCTGTGTTTGCTCAGACTAGTACAATTCACTATTGCATGATTGCACTCAAAAGCATGTGAGAGTGTGTTAGTATGTGAGTGTGAGTGAAAGAATGTGTGTTTTCTGATAGGCAGGCCCTGTATTTTAATGTTATTATCCGTACTATCCTTTTCATTGTTGATAATGTTGGTCTGAAACATTGTGTGTTTATGTTTGTGCAGACCCTCTCGTCCTATTGGGAACACCAGTCAGACCATGTTGTTGTCCCCATCAGCCGCAGAGTCCTCCAAGAGGTAAAGACTGAAATAAAGAGTAGAAATTCCAGCTATAGATAGTATTTGTAACCTTTGCTTTGTCTGTAGATGTTTGATAGATTATATATACCCTAATCAAACCTGTTGAAACCTTGTTGTTACAAATACCAGAGCTGGGAAATAAGTCAGTGAAATTGATTTATCGAATGTGTGTTTTAAAATGATGCAAAAATGCCTGAATCGTAAAATGTTGTCCATCAAATTTGATCCAGTTTCACCAAAATCAGTGATATAGTTGGTGGTGTGTGACTACTGCTATAAAGAGTTACGCATGCAAAAGTTACATAGTTCAATAAAATGTGTACATGAAGCAGGGTGGGAATGGCAGAAGCACCAAACACCTTATTACAAGTCAGTGTAGCATCAAAATTATTTTAAGCTGCTATTTGAAATAGAATATGTAGTCACATAATTATGTTAAGTAAACTAACTTATATGCTTCTTCGATTTAATTAGTTAGTTGATCAACATAAAATTAATCAGCAACATTTTTCCAGCTAAATTTACCAAATATTCCTGAGTTTTAGCTTTTAAATTGATGTGATAGTAAATTGAATATTCAGGGATTTTCCTGATAAAACAAGACATTTGAAGTTGGGCTAAAGAATAGTATGTTTTCTGTGCTGGCTGAGAGAGCATGCTGCAGCCAACATATACAGATGGGTAACCAATTAAAGGAAAAACCTCAATAAATGAGTGGAGAAACAGATTGAATGCAGATCCTTCCACACAAGTGTCCTGCATGGGACAATTAAGGAATTAACATCCAATCATGTTCTGTGGCATGTATAATAATGCTGAGGAGGCCCAGTTGATTCTGATTTTGTCAGAGGGATATTATAGTAGGGATGCAGTGAATAAGCCCATCATTACACAGATGAATGCACATTTGAGACTTCAGTGGTGCAAAAATAGTAGGCACTGTGGAAAAACTGATGGTAAGATGAGTCATGCTTCACCATATCCACACCAGGTGGGCGAGTGCATGTGTGGTGTACACCAAAAGAATGATACAGGCCTGAATGCTGGAACTTGACCCCTACAGTGAGTGGCTGTTTTATGCTGTGGGGGGCATTTGCTGGCATGGTTTGGATCCACTTGTCTCCTCAGAGGGAAGCGTCACTGCAAATCAATACGAAGTTGTTCTGAGTGATCACTTTTATCCTATGATGAAGCATTTCTATCCTGAGTGGGACTGGTCTCATCAAATGATGTGATATATAATTAATGAGAATGTGAATTAATCTGAATAATGTAAATTCACAACATATATGTGTTTATGTCCTGTCTCTTTTTCTCTCACACAGTTTGGCAACTGCTCAGCGAATGAACGAGGAACACGCTCTGATTGCTGCGTATGTGAATCGCCTCCAGAGCAGCCCATGGTGAGAGAGGTGACACAGCAGGGGGCGGTTACATAAGGGAATCAGGGAGGGTGTAAAGAGGAGAGCAAGGTGCAGCAGTACAGTCACTCCTTAACTTAGTCACAGTGTATCCAGATCTTGTAGTTTATCTCAGTGAAGAGCAAAGAGCACGTAAAAAACTAAACAAATCTATGTGTAAATCATATGTACACATGATCAACTCTCCAAGCTGTTTGTTTGCAGTTTGTGTTGTAGACTGTTTCTCTATTAGGCCAGTGATTTAAAAACTTACATGGTCAGTGTTATGAAAAACATCTCACCAAACCAGAGTTTGAATTTAACTATTTTCTGAAGGAAATATTTGCCCCCTTGATCCGGTTGGTAGTTGCACTGAAAAAGTAGTTTTATATTGCATGTTTACAAATATTTTTTTTTACATTACTGCTGTAAACTGGCAGCTGACCTTACAGAACATCCATTTTCCCCTTAGAGCAATACATATTTCACTTATTGTTTGCTTTATTCTTGTTATAGTAGTTTATGTGGGGTTAGCACGGTCCTCTACTTATGGGTGCATAGTGGCAAGATTGTCTACAGGCACCAAAAACTCCCATTTGTCACTGTCAGTTGCCCACAGCCAGGGGACATTTGACACATCCATACTGTATGTGAATATTTAACAACTCAAGTATAACAGAGGAACAATAACAGGTTAAAAAAGCCCTGTAAATGATCATTAGTGAATGTTGCTCTCAGTAAGTTGCTGATTTCCCTGCTCTCTGTGTGTGTCAGTAGTGTGGACAGTCCCAGCAGACAAGATGAAGAGCACAAACTGATCGCCCGCTACACCTCCAGACTGGCAGAGACTGAAGGCACAGGAGTGAGTCAATACCACCTTGTTTTTCACATACAGTAAACAGTAAACTGCTAATACATAAATACACAATCATCTTGTGTGTGACATGTAAACAGAGCTCTGACACATAATTGTGGGTGGTTGCTCTCCGATCTTAAAGCCACAGCTCTAAACTGAGATCTTTTTTTGGGTTGTTAAATGAGAAATGATCAACCCATAGTCAGCGTAAAACCAAACAAGCTCAAGTCATTTTGTGTGTGTTTCAGGTGATACCTAACCGGAGCATCAACTTCGATGTGAACAAACAGAAGAGGGAGCTCATTGCTCAGCTGGAGTGCAAAAACAGGTAGAAATGTGTAAATAGTGGATGAGTTATTCATTTAAATTCATTTTCTTTTAGTTTGACTCATACTCTTATAAGTCTGTATGTAGATGTGCAAACTGAGGAACTACTGCAGTAGAATTACAGGTGTCTCTTCCTGGTTGTTACACTGTGTCCCTGCCCAGTTTTACACATTAGAGAACTTTAATCTTATTTTGAAATTATTTTTACAGAATTATACTGTTTGACACAATATGAAAGGCAAAACTATTGAAATAAATGTGTTGTTGGTCAATAACTGTTGCCTTACTTACTACTATTAAGCACAGTTGACATGTTTTTTTTTTCTTTTTACTGAAAGAAGGCTATGTCCCTTCACAATAAAAGTCCTCTCTGTATATACATATGTCTGTGCTAATCTACTATATGTGCTTAATATCTACAATATGCGTATGTCTGAGTTTGTGTTTTTTCAGATTTAAAGCATATTCTCTAAATCCAACATGTACTTTCCTCCCAAAAAATCCGCAAACTCGTGCAGAAGCATGTGTGTGTGTTGTTCTCTTTACGCAGTCTGTTCAGTCATGTTACGCTCCCCCAGCCTCAGCTGACAAGTGTGTTTTTCATTTCCCAGAGAGATCTTGGCAGAGATCAAACATCTTCGTGCGGAGCATGACGCAGCGTGCCATGCCAGCCCGGAGAAGGGCAGCACCAACCCAACTTTGCTGGCTGAGCTTCGTCTGCTCAGGTAAACAAAGACTCCACCATAGACCAGACTGCCCAGCTGGGTCTCCTTCTACACATATATACACGTATATATAACGATTTGGTTTTTACTACAACCTTGTGAATCAAACCTACCGAAAGTATGCCCAAATATAATTTTCAAAAACAAAAACAAAAAGTTTGCCAGCCCTTAGCCCGCATGTGCCACAGTGTCAGAGTTGGCGGGAAATCTGCCGTGTTGCTTTGCAGCACAGAGGGAGAGTGCTTTATGGCAGATGGCAATGACAGATGGTGGAATTTGTGAAAAGCCGATCTAAAAATTACTTGTTTATGTTTTTTCCGGTAACAACAAAAACTCCAAGGAAGATGAGGCAGACTTGATATAAAGTAATATTGCTCGTGAGAGAGCTGCATTAATGATGATGATCACAGTGCAGCTTTAAATCCACTGCGTATACATGTTTATGTGATTATGGCATCATTAAACTTGTTTTAATGCTGCAAATTTTTGTTTGACCAACAATTTATAGATTCTGGGGGTTTCACTGTATATTACAGTATTTGTTTTTATTGACTGGGTCTTTATATAGATTTATAATGTCTCACTCTACTGATAGGAGTACATAGAAATATATAATAATAGTAAATATAAAGTTTTCATCACGTTATCATATATATACTGAAGGCTTTAATTACTATAGGGTTTGTGTAAACTGCAAAGTAATAAAAACAGAACTTAAAATAAAAGATATGTTGTATAAACACTATGAACTCACATAAAATACTCAAAAGTATTTGAATATTTGAAGAGATATTTCTTAGATGTTATATTGCACAAATAAGAAATACATTTTCAAAAGCTGTTGTGTGCCATGGTGCTTTGCTCTGTTGAAGACAGTTAGTTGTGGGTTATTAATTGTTGTGTTATAAAGTTATGAACAGTACGCAGTTAACAGGGCTCCCCTCTGAATACATGCTACATAGCTTGCCGCGACTGTAGCGTTCTTCGCTGCAAAAACAATATTGTTTTGAAGATATACAGCAGTTGTTTCTGCTATGCGCCGGTATAGAGACGTATGAAAAATTAACATCATACAGGAAATTAAAACTGTCATCCTGTGTATTTCCCAGCACTATTTCAGTCATGCTGGTAGTGACAGTATGCCTTGCTGGCCACTCGGGGGCGCTAAATTCAAAGGTTTTCATATTCTTCACATAGTGGCTTTAAAGGCATAATGAGTAGGATTTGTTGGTTGCAATCTAAAGTTAGCCCCTCCTCCACAGCTCAACGAGCGTGGGAGAGAGAGAGCAATAGTGGTCAAGCGAGCTAGAGAGTAAATGAAGAGAGGGAGCAGCGAAAACAAAGCAATGAATCGGAGAAATAAAACATTATTTTCTGATTTTTTTTCACCGCAGTTACGTTTTAAACCACAAATAAACATGGCCACACTTCACACTGCATTGTGTGAATGCAGCCGGAGCCAGCACAAGGTTTTTATAGTGCCCACAACCAACTGAGAAGTGAGATTGAGAGGGATTATTGTTGTATTCTATACATTGTTTAAGTTGTTCAAATCACACTATGTACTGTTCTAGTTCTTTGTAAATGGTTTTGACTAGAATATTCAAAATACACTTTGATGAATGCAGCATTTTTACTGAAAGCTCTCTCATTATCTGACTTGGGACTAAATTATAACTGTGTAGTTAAAACTGAAACAACCTCATGACACACATTAGCTAATAGCCATAATTAAAGGTAAACACGCTTTATTTGATGGTAACTTGTTAAGTGCAAACTATGCATGACCGACTCTCCCCTCCTTCTTCACACCTCAACAGCAGATACTATAACTATTCATCTGATATCATTATTCGTAATATTGCTTTCTGGAATCGTCCAATGGTGTAAACTCTTGCAGCTTGTAGTCATTCCCAGTTGCTAGACTGTGCATATGTGCAGGACAGTTAACTAGCTAGTGGCTTCTCAGATATATGTATATCTCGGTCATATCCTCTTTTTAGATCTTCTTTAAGGGTTTCTTTCAGCACAGATTCGGGACAAGACATCATCATTGAAGAATATCTCTAGTAAAATATGTTGTTAAAGTGGTTAAAGCTTTCTGTCACTGTTGAAGCTTTACTTTTGGATCACAGTGACTCAGATCTGGAGTTGCTGTATGACTCAGTTGTACTTGTTTATTTGCTCATTTATCCTACCATGTGAGGAAGCCAAGAGGGGAAGAAAAGAGCTATGTTCCCGCTTTAATGTCCAATCCAGACCACATACTGTTTGGGAAAAAAATATTGTAAACACCCCTATATGTTTGTTACTCTGTTATGTTGTTAGTTACAGAACATGTACGGACCCTTGAACCTCGTCCTTTTTTTGCTGCCAAATCACTATAAATAGCAAGAGTTTATCAATTGTGCTTCTCAAGTACTTTTAAAGTCTTGGTGGTCTGCATGATGAACATCCCTGCTGCTTCTGTCATCTGACAACCAGTATACATCAGTCGTGATTGTGTTTTCAAGGTTTAAAAGTCTTGTGGTGTGTCTAGGATGTTCATGACACTCTCCTGTTCCAGTCAGCTCGCTCTTTCACATCTCATCTCCACCGAGTCTCCTCTTACAAACATGAAACTCCATGTTTCCATCTGATTTCTCTGTGATTTTCTCTGGCAATGCTCACGCCTGGGAGCAGTGATCTCCTGGGAAGTCTTCTGGGATCTTGAGCTCAAAAGCATATGTATCTTATTTGGCTAACCAGGGGACAATTAGGGCTGCACAATATGGTAAAAACATCATATTGGGATTATATTTAAAGATATTTCAATATACAATCAGTGATCAAAAAACTATTAATATCTTAATGCTGAGATTTTTTTTGTAGTCTGTATCAAACAAACATGTTTTCCTCAGCACAGTACAGTATTTTATCATTTTAACTTTATTGAAAAATTATAGCCTCTGCAATTTACATAGTGCTTCTGTGACTTGCCTGTTGCACTTATTGCGATTTTGATAATATTTGATTAATTTTAAGATAAGATAAGATATTATTATTGATGCCACAGTGGGGAAATTCACTCGCTACAGCAGCTCCAGATACAACACAACAGATAAGAAAATACAGATTAAACAAAAAAATGTAATAGAAAAATCCAAGATATACTATATACAGCTTTTTTATATACAGATGTGATTTAAATAGTGCAGCCCTATTGATTATCTGTCCTCATCAGACAGACTGGAGTACATTCGCCCAAGGTAACTCTACATTTACGCCTTTCACAGGAAAAAAAACTATTTCCAGATTATTGATCTGGCTAATAGAGATCAATGCTGCTGCTGTTGCTACTTTTGTCGTATGTGGTTAAGTACAAATGAATGTGTATTAAATCAAATCTGGAGATGTATGTCACAACAGAAGTGTAAATGGGGCCTCTACTGCGACGATGCTGGTCTGGTGAGGCTATGTACAGACTGTAGCAGCAAATATCCTTGAAAGCACAATAAAGAATCGTATCTATCTTTCAGCTTTCTGTCCTGTTGTCTGTCTGTATACCTGTAACATTTTATTTTAACTGTGTCTTCTGCCTTCTGTGAGTCCTTGGGTCCTTTTGTTGCTTCCTCCTGACACTCTGTTACGTGACAGTAATGGAGGGTTGCTGTGTGTTGCAGACAAAGGAAAGATGAGCTGGAGCAGAGGATGTCGTCTCTGCAAGAGAGCAGGAGGGAGCTAATGGTACAGCTAGAGGGACTGATGAAGCTGCTGAAGGTGACACACACACACACACACACACACACACACACACACACACAAATAGACTGCCTATTGTTTTCAGCATGGTGTATTATCACACACAAGAGGGCAAAGTTTCCCTTTTTCTTCACCCCTCCCTGTGTCTGTCCTCGCAGTAACAAGCCTCACTTTTCCCTCTGCTATTTCCTCCTTCATAATTTCACCTTTTCTAGCTCTGACTGTATCTGACCTCTTATTTTCCATCCTTTTCTTCCCCATTTGTTTCCGACTGCCCATGTTGTGGCCCTGTAGGATGAGGAACAGCGACAGGCAGTAAGTTCATCCCCCTTACGTTGGACTGGTGTAAATGTGAAATTGACTTTAAATGTCAAAATAAGTCAACTTTACAAGCAATGAGGAAGCTGCTTCATTTTCCCAATTGGGACCGAAATAATGGCTTGGCTTTTTCCAGCAGTTACCAGAACATTTACTACATTGAGGAGATGATGTCAGCTGCAACAAAAATAACAAGTTAGATTTTTCTGAAAGTTATACGTGCTGATGGTGACGTGTAACAACCCCTATAAATCCATCTCTCAGGCACAGGCGGCTGGTTCTTCTCACGCCTCTCCTTCTCGACCGAGCCCATCAACGGTCCGCTCTGTGGGTGCTGCGTCACCCCAGGCTCACATGTACCCTCCTCAAGATTCACTGGCTGGGGTGGGTGGTGATGTACAAGAAGCATTCGCCCAAGGTAAGTGAGGTACTAAGTAGTTGAAAAAGTAGTAGTTTTTTTTTTTGTCTTGCACACAAAGGAACATACAGATCTGATGGCTTTGGTTTAGTTATAGCTTTGAGAAAAAGTACAATAAGTCTCTTTGAGACACACAGGAAAGATGTTTCTGATCTAACAAAGTTTATATGTTGGACCACCACATTTCTGAACAGCACAACAATTTCCCTGTTAAGACTTTTGTATGGGACATCACATGAGTTGGAAAACGTTTTGGCTCTAACTCTTAAAAGATATTGATATTTTAATGATCACTTGTAAAATGAGTTGTTGTGTGAGACTTCCAGCTGTGTTTATCACATGCATTTACTGAATCTCTGCTCCGCTACAGACACAATAGTTTCCATCAGTTTTTAAGATTAGTCTTAGTTCATGGTGCACTTTAAAAACTTCAGCCTGTAATATAAACCACTTGACAGAAACAAATAGTAGCCCATAAGAAGTAACCCATTTGTTAAGGAAAATGCTGTGTCACAATGAAATAGTGTTTAACAAGAACACATTCACAACATTATCAGAAAATTGGTGTGAAACATTAAGTCAGATCCAGTGGAATTTGATTCATACAGCCCAGAATCACACATTTGCCTCAGAAGGCTTAAAATATGGTAAAATGTCTTTGCTCCAGCTGCTGTGAGCTTTACAGTATGTGTGTTTAATGAATTTTGCTCTGCTTTAGGTATAATCTTAAGAAAAAGGTGTCATGAAGTTAAGGAGTCAAGTCCATTTAAAAAGCTTTTTGAAATTCACATTATATCATATGCAGATTAGGTGGTTTTATGATTTAGTTGTAATTGGTGCCACAGTGAGACAGTATAAAAGTGTCATTCAGATCTCATAAAACTAATGATTATGTATCCCAATATTAACATTTTAGAGTCACTAGTCTAATGTTTTACTGTTTAACTGGGTGATCATTGGTGGTTTTTTTTTTTGTCACATCTCTCCTTCTCAGGCCCAAGAAGAAACTTGAGGAATGACCTTCTGGTAGCAGCCGACTCCATCACCAACACTGTGTCCTCACTGGTCAAAGAGCTGCACTCTGGTAAGCGCGCACACACACACACACACACACACACACACACACACACACACACACACACACACACACACACAAACACACACAAACCTAATAATAAATCTTTAGAAAGTAATGAAATGAATCCAACACATGTTCATATGTTGCCTTTATACTGTCTTTTTTTCTTACTAGATGATGTTCGGGAGGAAGAAGAGAGATTGCTGAACGGGAAGGGCAGAGGTAAATTAATCTCCTCAGTAACCCTAAATTATCATCCTCTCTTTATAAAAATATATAATGTATAAAACTTCACACTAACATGATCATTATATCATATATCATAATAATTCTAGAGATTTATTTCAGTATTTCTGAATTAATGTAACACACTATAGAGTCTAAAGAGGCAGGAACTGGTAATCAGTGGCTTAAATCATGCAAAACTAACAACACACATAATAGATCAATAAAATAACCTATAAGTCCAAGACTCCATGCTTCCTTTTAAAGGGTTTCTCTGACAGTTTAAAAGAACTGGCGAGCTTTTCATAACTGAAATCAACTTTTAATCTATTTTGCATGTCCACGTGCACCCATTATTCATGGAAATTATATTTCATAATGAAAGCACCAAAATTCGATCTCATGACATTAAAAAGTTTGCCAGTTTTCCCCAGTTAATTCGTCCGTCCACACATCAGCTGAGTTGATCTTGTCGTTCAGCTCTTGAGGACATGAACGAACGTCAGGCCTTCTGATTTTTATTATTTTAAAGCCAGCACTGTGAACAGGCCGGAGTAAAGCTATTAAAAGATAGAGGTGGAAGAAGTATTCAGATCTTTTACTAAAGTAAAAGTACCAAAATTACAACTAGCTCTCCTAGCCCCATATACCAGAGTCCTTGCTCCAGCAGCCATGGGTTCAACTCCAACCTGGGACTCTACAGCTTTCACTATCCATTAAAGGCAATAAAAGAAAACACTGAAAACACTTGTGTGGGTCTGTGTCAGTGCTAATGCATCATATTTTATAAGCTGATTGTATGTTTTATTTGTAAAATTAGTTACTTAATTACTACTAACTATAGTTGTCAGATAAAGGCACTGTAGTATAATGTACAAATGAAATGAAAGTCAATTTATTTGCTAAGACTTTGAATCCACTTGAACTTTAGCGCTCTTCCTGCATTTCTTTCCGTATCTGTGCAAACCACATGCACAGTCTCTATACGACTCCACTTATTCTCCAGGTGCTCTCGTCTGTACTGCAGCAAGCTTCATTAACATGCCATCTCATTAGCCATGCTTTATGGAGCCCCTCCTCTTTACAAGAGGACCGCCTGCAGAGAAACTGCTTCCTGGTCTGCTCCCCGGGCTCAGACTAAACCCTTATTAGAACACTAACCTGCAGTACTAACCCAGCTACCCCCGACCAGACAGACAGACAGGAGGCCAGGGTTCAGCCCCACGTTCAACACAGTTAAGTCTTAAAGTTTAAAGATAAAATACTGTGTTACACTGTCCACAATAGAGCTTTTTTCCTGTCAATTTGTGTAGCACCTGCCAAGTATAGTCATGTTTTATGTTTCTATGCTAAGGACTGGTCTGGTTCTTATTACGGTTTCTGGCAGAAACCTGTCGCACTTGATTTAGCTTCAGACTTTACTGTCCTCTGCTAACTGCTAACAAACCTTGTTTCTTTTTTCAGCAGGTTAAAATGACTGCAGGACAAACAAAATCAGTAAGTCAATCACCTTTTTTAATCACATGATGATAAAAACTAGAACAAATAAATTACTTTATTTAGTTTGTTTCAGTTTTAGCACACTGTACAATTAAAGGATGCTACAATGGTGCAACTATTGCTTACCTTTTGTATTATTTAATTATAAATCAGTAACCAAATGTATTAGACACATTTCTGCTTTTGAACAAAAAAGGCTGCACTCATGTTTTAATAAAATTTGAGCCACTGCCAGCAGCCAGTTAGCTTATCTTAGCTGGAAAGTGGGAGAAACGACTCACCTGGCACTGTCCAAATAAAAAAAATTTATAAAATATGTATATTATATAACACGTAATATCTAATTTGGTTAATTTGTGCAAAAAGCCAAGCACAGGTTTTTCAGGAGGTTGTGAGACAGACTATTTCTTTTCTGGGGCAATAACTCCGTATATTGTTGTTTTCATTAGGTTTAGAAATAAGCAAATAAGATATAATGTGTTCATAAATTAGATTTAGAGGTGCTGATAGGCAGAGCCAGGCTAGCACTTTCCTTCTGTTTCCAGTCTTATGATATGAGAACATAAGACACAAGAGCGGTATCAACCTTCTCATCTAACTCTCGACAAAGAAAGTCGAACTATTCCTTTAATGCCATGTGACAGAATATGAAAGAAAATGAACTGTTGTCTGACTGTTTGGTCACTCTCTCCTCAGGCAGAGTGATGTTTCATCACGGCCAAAGAAGACTGACCTTGATGGGATTCAAATATATCTTCTAATATTCATCGTTAGCCAACGGGGATTAGAGCTCCACTGCCAATCAACCAACAATCACGATGCTGGACACCAAATGACCGCTGGGTCCCTACTGATGTATAGCTGTGATTTTGTGTGTGTGTCTTGTCACTGTGGTTTTACTTTTGTTTTGATTTGATCATGCATAGCTAAACGAGGAGTCCGAAACCTACTGATTTGTACTGTAGCGCGTGTGCGTGTGTGTGTGCTCTGCATTTTCAAGGGTTCGAGAGGGTCGAGTAAGTGAGAGGGACGCCGTGAAGAGACAGAAAGATGCATTTAGGATATTTGTGAAGGATAAAAGTGCAAGAAAGTTTCATGATGGAGATACGGGATGTAACCACATCGGAGAGAGAAAGAGGAGGAAAAACAAAGGAAAGTTAAAAAGACGAGAAGCGAGTTGTAACGTTTAAAGTTTCGGCACTGTGTGCTTAGTATTTATTGCTTTGATTTGATTTGATTTTTGGCATTTATTCATGCAGTTTGAGTGAGTTTGAGTTTGCATGTATGTGAGTGTGCTCAGGCCCTGCTGAGACGATAAGCTTTAATGGGACATTTCCTGCTGTAACAAGCCCGGCCCGGCCCTCCCCTTCCAGGTGTAGTGATGCAGGGTGGAAGCCCCAGTCCTGGTCCAGGTGTCTGAAACTTGGATGAGATTAGTGCCATGGGTGCTGGTGTGATAGCAGCTCAGGTTGTCCAGGCCTCCCTGTGTATCTCGGTACTGCAGTGGGACTCCAGTCAAAGAGGAGATATCTGATTACTGTATGTGTGTGTGTGTGTGTGTGTGTGTGTGTGTGTGTGTGTGTGTGTGTGTGTGTGTGTGTGTGTGTGAGGGGGAGAATATAAAACCATTTGCTTTCAACAGGGTCAGTGAAGCAACAGAGTAGCAAAGTGGGTGGAGAAGTGGGCTCTGGAGGTATTTATCTGTCTTTTAAAGGGTCAGTTTACCCAAATTACAAAGTGTTTTTCACTTAACTCTGTAGTCAAGTGTTTCCCAACCTGAGTGTCCCAAGATAAATCTGAGGGTCACAAGATGATCAAAGGAAGAAAAAAAAACACCAAATTATGTTCATTTTCACTGAATTCTCCCTACTTTTTTTGAATTGCTGACAACACATGTTCACATTTATTTTTTGTGTGATCAGTTATTTATTGCATTTTGATATAACAACATACATATCAAGAAATCATGTTTATTTTTCAACAAGAGAAGAAAGAAAAAGGGCAGCAATAATTAATCCGAATGTTAAGAGAAAGACACAACTTCAGTTTCGTGATGGCTTGGTGCTTCTTTTAAAATCCTGACTCGACAGTTTAATAATCACGCCAGGGTCGCCGTCTTGCTTGTCCATGTTTGAGATATCTGTCTCTTTAAGGTATTTTCCCTCCACACATACACAGTATAGGCAAAAGCCTTTTTGTTTGTAGTGCTCTTAGAATAGAAACAAGTTTTTACTGGAGCTTCCTTTTATTGCAGAAATACTGTAGTCTCCAGCTCTTGTTTTTTCACTTTGTTGAACTTTTGTCTCCTGAATAATTGAACCACATTATGTTAGGATGCCAGTATTGTCTAAATACTACGATACCCACGAGCCTCTGCAGCTATTACTATGGATCAAAAGTCAGCCAGAGCTGCAAAGCTGAGCTTTAGAAAATATTAAACATTTTAATTTTGTAGTCAAGAACAAAACACAGTCGTTCAAAATTGACGCAGAATTAAACAGAATTTTAAGCTCTGTGACCGGATGATTCTAACTGCAGTGCTTCTTGGGAGTTGTAGTTGACTTTTCTCCTTTAAGTTTTTACATACACAGTCTTATAACCAAGGATTCAACCAGTTTCATGCTAACCCCAAGACTTTAAGGTGCTCCAGCTGCCAGGTACTAATCACACTTTGCTACTCAATGATGCCTTTTAAGCTTCCTGTAAAATGCAGTGCATTGTGGGTGATGATGTTCTCTGTGGGTGTGTACACTCAGCACCCCAAAAACCTTCAGACTGATACCTGTATGCAAATCAAACATGACCCAAAGTGACTTACTGAGTTTGTGTCAGGTCAGATTGATTTATTTTCATATTATTTTAATTTCAGTAGATAATATTATCAAAAATATGTTTTTCAACACTTTTTTTTTTTTAGCATTTCAGGGTGTTTGGTTTGTGCTCATAGGAAGCTGTTTAACTGTACTGTATATTTTTGGATTAGTTGGACAGTTTGTTTTGTCTATGAGACGTCACCAGCCCTCCATGTTGTTTGACTGACCGCTTGTGACTGAGATAATCACATTTTCAGTCTGCTGCGCGATTAACTGACCTTATGAGTGATTGAGTAAATGAATGTGTGTCAGTGCGTATGTGTGAAAGGGACAGTGAGAGAAATCACTGACAGGACTGACGTGTCCTGACATGAAACTGTAAACACCTTCAGCTCTGAGCCTGCTGGAGCTGACGGTGTGAGTGAAACGTGTTCATCTGTGTTTCATCTGAAATAAATAATATTTAACGTCTGAGCTTCGTCTGTCTCTGTGACTGTTGGTCTTAATAATCTGGGCAGCAACATAAAAACATGGATGTGATGCATAATTCAATAACTTCTCCATGACTTTCCTCTACTATGTCATAGCTCTACCATGACTTCAACATTTCAGTCCCTCCTGGTTTGTTCATGTTCGTGTTCCTTAAAAGTCTGCTTCGCGCTACAGTTTGGCCAAACAAACGTTAATGTAATAAATCTGTCAGACAGTTGGAAACTAAACTCTGCTGTATTCCTGGAAAGTGACCCATTTGTAAAATTCCTTGACTGCTGTCATCTGGAATACAGCTTTTCCCAAATCTCATTATATCGCAGCAACTGTGAAAAATAAACTAGAGGCAAAGGAAATCTAAAAGAGCAAGAGCACCCCTTCGAGCACAGTGTTCGATTTAAACGCAATGAAGTTTTGAAAAGGAGCCTCTGCCTCACAAAACGTCAAGTATTTTTAGGCTACAAAGTTAAACCATTTTAGGAATGTTAAGACACAAAAATGTCCAGTGGTGGAAAAAGTATTCAGATTCTTTACTTAAGCAGGGAGGATCTAGAGAAATATTTCTGGGGTGGGAAGAGGGTGGCATGGAGACTGGCAGAAAAATCACATATATCCATATTTCCTCGGAAAATCCCCCAAATGAAGATATTTTAACTCATTATATTATTATTATTATTAAAGCATTGACTAGAAATATGTATTTATATTATTTACATTATTGTTGACATTTTTTCTCTGAACTAAGGCCTATTACTTCTAAAATGTGGCCATAACAGATCATTAAATCAATTAATTTTTTACCAATACATTTTTTAATTAATCTAAATGAATGTGTTTGACAGCCAAACTCCCTCTCGATCTGCCCCAGTAGTAATGCTACAGTGCTTGTGTGTGTTATACTGGTACAGTACATATTATTTATGCAAAAGGATTGTGTAAATATAATTTTAGTGACAAGAAACTACATTTAACATGTAACTAATACCTATAGTTGTTAAATAAATGTAGTGGAGTAGAAGTATAAAGTGGCATTAAAAGTACCATTTGTACTTAAGTACTTAAGTAAATTCATTTTCACACTGTCATAAGAAATAACACATTCTTACTCTTAATTTAAAAATTTAACTCGTAAGCAATAAAAACTTAATTCAGCCGTAAACATTTAGTGACTTTGCTGCTACACTCAAGATTCAAGAGGTTTATTATCATATGTACAGTATAAACACAAGGCTAGTACGCACAATGAAAATCTTACTTTGCCCGACTCCCTGAGGTAACACACAAGTAGAACAGTAAGAAATAATTAATAATTAATTGAAAAAATATTTAAAAAAATATATACAGAAAGTGTGAAAGACGTCCTCATATAAAATGGCCCCATTCAGAGTGTTAAATAATATACGTATACCACTGGAATATTACTGATGAAGTAACGTTTGTTGGAGTTAATCTTAACAACTTTAGATGTTTTAGTCTACAGTGAATCACATTTTAACAACTGATCGTGTGTTTTAGACGTAGAACTGTAGCTGTGAAATCAATGTAGTGAGTGAGTGAAACATACAATATTTGCCCCCCTGAAATGTGCAGTGCAGAAGTTAATAACAGCAGAAAGTGGAAATACTTAGAGAAATATAAACATAGTTACATTATACCACTGTACAACAACATTTAACCATTCAACCATTGATATCAGTGTGATGGTAGCAGCTCACCGCAGACTGATCACACTTTTTTTATTTATTATTTTATTTTTACATCTTCCTATGAGCCGGTGTTTTTTGGTCATAACCCAGTTTCTATAAATAAACACCCCCAACATGGACACCCAGTTTTTCTCCTGCATGTTTTTAACTTTTCTCCCTGATTTAGTGTCCTCATTAGTATGGATGAGCAGTTCTCACTTTTCCCATGAGCTTCCCTCAGAGGTCATGACTCTGTGTGTGTGTGTGTGTGTGTGTGTTGTATATCTGACTTTGTGAGAGTGTGTATGCGAGGTGGGGGTGTAAACTATAGACTGAATAAAGCTCATTGAGGTCGTCTGTTGTTAGTGACCTCACTGACTGCTATAAATAACCCCCTCCCCAACCCAACACCTTCTATACTTATACTCACAACACCCAGTGCAGTTATGACCCTGTTTAGTGTGGATCTAAACACTTTCTTCTCCTCGGAGGTCAATCTGAGTTTAACCTCCTCTTCTGGAGCACCAACTGGAGAAAATCTACTAGTAATAATGAATAAATATAATAATAATAAGATAATTTAAAGTCCATTTGAGACTTGAAGTAATGCTTGAGCCTGAATCTCATTATAGATGAGTCATATTAAGGAAAAAAATCTAAATATTTGCTGGTTCCAGCTTATTAAATGTGATTATTTTCTTCTTTTCTCTGTTTGATGTTGGATATTTTTTAATTTTGGAGTGTTGTATTAGTACTGAAAAAGTAAAAGTATATAAGAACAAATTTGAGTAGATAAATTGATCCTTTATTGTTCTTTCCAGGAAATGTTTTGCCACAGTCTGTACACAGTCTCATACATACACAAACACAACATTAACACAAGATAGACATCCAAAAACAGCCCATTTGTTCTTCCCAATCACTTTATGCCAAATCCAAGTAAAGTTTAAAGTTCAAACATCGCCACAAAACAAATAGCAATCAATGAGAATTAGACCAATTAAATACAATAATTTCCATCAAAAGAAAGCCCTGATCTGCACAACAAGAGTTATTATATCAGAATTAATGATCGTCTGCTTTAGATTTTTATACAGTGTGTTCTGCATAGACTAAATAATAATAAGGGTTTAATACGCCATTAATGGAAAGTTAAACTATTTCTGCAGGCTGCTTTCCAACATGGCCACCGGTGACATAGCATACAGTTATATTAGAACAACCAAACCTTAAATTTAAAAGGCATTTGCTCTCTTTACTCTCTTTGTACTGCAGTAGAGGAGGGTTAAAGCTCTCCTGTGTAACTGTGCACACACAGCTGGAATCACAGCTTCTTACGGTTAATGCAGCAAAATGCAGAGTAGATAACAGACCAGTTGTAACAAAGGTATGAATGGAAAAAAAGGAGATTACTGGCACAAATAATATTTCAATAAAGAGTACAGTATCAAAAAGGACCATGAAAGCTAGCTATTTAACTAACTGTGTTACTTTTAACAAGTTACTACCCACCTATTTTCCACTGTTTTATGACATTTTATGGACAAAACGGTTCAAACGTTGATTAAATTAACATATTTATTGTTAGTTGTAGCTCTACCAATAATTACTTCACTATTTTCATCCATATTTAGGTCTCCAGATGTTGGTAAACAGAGACCACTAGGAGTTACTTTGTAAATCGCTCTTTAAAAATGTATCTGCCTTATTCGCTCTTACTACATTTTCTGCTTTTCCAAGCTTTGCAACAGTACTGTGTCCACAGCAGTTAGAGAGCAGGTTTCAACTTGTCTCAGCAGACTTCACCTGTCGCAGGGCCGGAGGAGAAACAGGAGTTTAGATCAGAAGAAACAAACCTGCTAAACAGAGAAATGGGTAAATGAGTTCACAGTTCAGTTGTGTTGTATGTGGAGACAGGTGGCCTAGAGAAAAACACTATCAACAGTAGCTGTTTGTGAAACTCTAACTGAAGGAAACTTAACTTTTACAGAGGTTTTCCCAACCGGGTGGATCAGGATGAAGAAGATAGGAAGGAAGAAGTGTATCTGCTACACAAATTATCTCACTTATTTCTTATTTTTCTCAAATTTAGCTTCCTGTATTATGAAGTTTCAAGGCCTCTAAAAACTGTTGAAACTCAGACATTTGCAGCCTGTGACGAGGGGAGCAGATATTGATTGATTCTTAGGCAGTAACATCCGTTTGTGCAACAAGTAAAACTGACTTTAAAGTTTGATTCATGTCCAACAGTAACTGAAGCGTAAGTGCTGCTAGTGTCTGAAGCTTAGACTTGACTCGGACCTGTAAAACAAAAATATGACAGTTTGCCTTCGGGGGCTGTAACACGTTGACATTAATCAAACATACTGTATATTGTTACAGGAAGCTTGTGTTACACCTCTTTTTTAATGATTCTGAGAGTAATCTGTGTCACAAATGAGCAGCTGGGACTCTACAAAGCCCCCTGTGTACAGTACACCTGGGTTACCACAAGGCCCCCAGGTTCACTGTATGGTGAGTCAGACCAGTGTCCATAAGGATTAACCTTTATTTTATAAACAATAATGCAGTCCGCAAGGGACAGATGCTGTAAAAAGCAAGAAGTTTTAACATTAAAACATATTTTTATTGAACATACTTGTGGGTATTGTGTAATCCTCTAATATCAATCTAATCTAATCTCTGTCTACTGTAATAATAATAATAGTAAACGCTCCTCTAACAGCAACAACCTGCTAAATCAACCTGAAATATTCGTATTAATTGGTTTAATTTTAGGAATATATCAGTCTAACAACACAATAACAGCTGAAATGTCTTAAAAGTAGATTTCTATCTTTGATCCATCTGCATATATTTCTGCACATTCACGAAGAACCTTCACGTCCGGATTAATCCTGTATTTTTATATTCGCCCTGAGGCAAAGTCAGCTGTCTCTCGCTCTCTGTGCCTTCTCAAACAGTCCCCAATTAGTTGGTGCCAGCTTAATTACCAGTAACCACAAAATGTATTTCAGAATAAGATAAACAGAGATAATAAAGGCTTTTAAACTTGAATTTATGGTCTCTTATACAAGGTAAAAATGCTTCAGTATATGTTGTATAGTACATTATGTATCACATACATAGAACCTGGATCCTTCGGGCCCCCTGAGGTCCTGAGTGGAGTCTACAGGTAGATTTAATGACATTAAGACATTAAATACTCACACACTCTCTCCCCGTCAGGCTCTTGAGGCGGTCCAAATGATTTTCTCTGGCCGTCTGTCTGAGCTCATCCTCGTCTGTTTGGCTGGCGGACAGATCAGATCAGTCTCAGGTTTGTTTCCGCAGTAAAGACGTCAGGAGACGCTTTGACTCGCTGAATTTATTCCCTCCGTGGCAGTAAAACACACCAGAAAACTCCTGTAGGTTGAACAGGAGTTAGTTTACACTTTTAGGGCTCACACACTTCAGACAGACTTAAACTTCCTACAACAAAAAGGCTACCCACAATGCAACTCTCTCTTAGGATTTAAACAGTCAGTAACCAGTGATAATTAATGTTAATTGTCTAGTTCTCAAATATAATTCAATAATTCAAATGTTGTTCATTGTTGCTTTTTATCTATATTTATACTTAATACTTAAATGTACAGTAATATGTTTATAAATCAAAGTCAGCTACAGGTGAAACACATTGCTCACTATTAATAAATCACAGTGTGCGGTGGTTAATTTAGATTTTTGACTTTTCAGCACCTGTCAGTTTTGTTTTACGAGTTATATGTTTATGTTTTGTTTTTAGCTGTATGTTTATTTCTGTCTTCCTGTGAATGTGAGTTATAACCGGAGTCAAATCCCTTGTATGTGTACACAAAAAAGTACTGTATCACCGTATATTCTGGACTTTATTTGGATAGTACGGCAACAGATAGTTCAGTTATTTGTAACAACAAAGTGACTACCGTAATTTCCGGACTATAAGCCACTACTTTTCCCACACACTTTGAACCCTGCGGCTTAAACAATGATGCGGCTAATCTATTGATTTTTACAGAATAACGTCCTCCAGGGGGCGCTCTAGCAGGAAGCGCAAGAGCGAGACAGACAGGTGGAAGAGATAATGCGCCGAGGAAGACGCTAGTTTGATTGTTTTGAATTCATTCAGTTTGAATTCATTCAATTCATTCAGTCATTTTGCACATCATGCGCACACCCTCATCATGGAAAACACAAGAAGAAATGCACATGATGCAGCTTTTAAGTTAAAGGCAATCGATCTGGCTGTCGAAGAAGAGCTGCTGCACGTAAGCTTGGCATCAATGAATCGATGGTGAGACGTTGGAGACGGCAGCATTTATTTAATTAAAAATTAAAAAAATATTTCTGTGTAAATATCTCATGTTACAACGTGGACACCTGCGGCTTATAGACAAGTGTGGCTTATATACGTAAAAAAAAAAATTTCTTTTTAAATTTAGTTGGTACGACTTAAGTTCAGGTGCGCTCAATAGTCTGGAAGTTACGATATTTAAATAAAATATATCTAAATATAGTCAATATAAAAGTAACATCTCCTTTAATGGTACAGATTGAACATGTAAATGTAGAAACAATGAAGGTGAACCGTCTTTCACTGACTCAGTAATCCCTGCTGTCAACCTGAACTCTGAAGTTCTTGGAGAGTCTGGCTTCTTCTACACCTGTCTTCATCTAGCTAGTGCGCGTGCGCGTACAAGCACGTCTCTGTGTGTGGAGAGACATGTAGGACCTCGCGTGTATGGAACGCCAACGAGGTCAAAAAACGTGAATTCTAACATTTGGAACAGGTTAACAACACGTAGACAACGCGTAAACACGCGTGACGCGTTGGTAACGTGTTGTTAACGTGTTGTCTACGTGTTGTCTACGTGTTGTTAACGCGTTAGAATTCACGTTTTTTGATCTCGTTGGCGTTCCATACAAGGAAACCTTCTCTCCGGTACGACAGCCTCTGCAGCTTGTGAGAACAGCGAGCGGGCCGGTGTGTGTGTGTGTGTATGTGAGTGTGTGTGCGTGCGTGTGTGTGTGTGAGAGAGAGAAGCGAGGGGGGGGGGAACGTAAGCAGCAACGGAGAGAGAAGACCCGGTAGAGCGCGAGGAGGGAGGGAGAGAGAGCGACGACCATCAGGGTCCGTGTGCCTGAGGGACGGACGACACGGTAAATATAAACATTACATTTTGGCTCGTGAACGCACAGCGGCGCCCGTTAAGTTAAGCTAACAGTCATCTCCTAAAAGTCATCGCTCGCGCGCCGCGGAGACGAAAACCGTTGGTTCCGTTTTAGCTGGTGATGTGCGCGTGAAGACGGAGCGGTTCGTACACGGGGAGAGTGAACTTGGTGAGTTCTTTTTGAAACGGTTGGTGGTGGGGGGGGGGATCACGGCAGGCACACAACCGTTATATAACGAACGTGTGTTAATGTGTGTTGTCCGGTGCAGCGTATACACCCCATCTCCCCCCCAGCCCCCCCTCACCCCCTCACCTCCCTCCCTCCCTCCGCTCCGACCGACACCAGCAGGTAACGTTAAACCACAGCGCCCCGTAGTCTTCACCCACCAGATGCAGACAGACACATCAGCGCGAGCGAGAGAGCGGGCGGGCGGGCGCGCGCCTTTTTGAGGTTACTGAGTGCATTCGGTCTGAAACGCGCCCCGTGTGTGTGTGTGTGTGTGTGTGTGTGTGTGTGTGTGTGTGTGTGTTTTGTTTTTTTTTTTACCTGACCCAGTAAAGCTTATCGTCGCTACACACTCAGACACGTGTCTCTCACCGGCGGCCCGCCCCGCACACAGACACACACACACACACACACACACACCCCCACCGGGATTATATGCCGTTTATTTGAGGCCGTCCGGTAAAGGCCGCGTAAGGTCGCTCCCAATATTAATTGTCATAAAGCTAGCAGGCATCGAGCTAGCAGGGATAGCTGCGACACTTCCGGTCCTGGCTTTAAAAACAAAAGCATTGACGTTCGTTGCACTGCTCGCTCAGATTTGGTCACATAGATATTTTTAGAAGTAATCAATATTTTACAGGTTATAAGCCATTAATTTGAATTAATATCCTATTAGTTAAAGGTTTAAATTGTTAAATTATCCTGAAGTTGAAGATTACTTTTATTATCATTATATCATTTTCTAGAGTAATCAAATAACATTTGGGTTGTCAGAAAATACTAAAAATTGTCCTAAACCCCAAGGCGTTCAATTTGCTTTCACAGAAGACTAAAAAACAGAACTTATTCACGTTTGTTTTTTTTTCATTGAATATATTGCTGTGTAACTGTTTCATCTCTAATATTGTGTGATCTCTAGTTGTTGAGTTCATTGAAGTCTTGTTGTATCATTACTTGTCGTAGTTTACAGTTAGGTCACTGAGGTCATCTGTGTTTTTTTCTGGGAATTTGGGGGTTTCAGTAAGCTGAGTGGGGTTTACATTATATAATCAACTCAGCTAACACATGATGGGTATTCTTTTGCAGATCCCAATATTTTTAGACTTAAATTGCACCACTTTTATGCCAACAATAAATGAGTAAAGGATTCACTATTTCCCCTTGAGGATTTAGTTCCTGGCAGTGTAGAGGAGCAAGAAGTTTCGAAACAGGCTCAGTGACAGAAAACCTTAAAAATAAAATATAGCTGAATAAATAAACCATGACAAATCTACATAATAAAAATATTTTAGGAACTTAATTGTTGGTGTCTTATCAAACCTATCTGAGGGTTTAAGTTAGGGCATAATGTGTTTAGACTTGTGACCTCAGATGACCTTATTATTTAGATATCCTGGACAGCTTGAGAAGTGTTAAAAGTTGGGATGTTTAAGCCAAAGATAAAAAGTTACCTGCCTTTAAGAATGTGTTACTTTGTTCAAGTGTGAATCTGTCAATAGCAATAGTAGAATACAGTAGAATATTATTTATTATTGCCTTTTAGCTCAGAAATCTGATAAAATATAAAATAATTCTGTTAATCACCAGTGGAGGAATGATAGAGCAGCATAAAGACAGGTTAAGAGGAAAGGAAACAGACAAAGAGCTAAATTAACTTATTAAATAAACAGGGCTCTAAAGAAAAGCATATATTTTATGCTTTTATTGTGATGACACATCACCTACTTCCCTTGCCTAACTCTCACTACCTTGACATTCCTCTGAAGCTTTTTCTCTGCGCAACCATTTCTCCTCCCACTAGTGCAGGCTTCTGCTTAGGCCTTTGACTATAGTTTAATGTAAACCACTGCTGCATGAACACTTAAACAATTTAAATAATTGTATATAGACTTGCTATAGGAGTGCGAGGTGTGTGGGTGACCTAAATACGCAGAACTTGGAGGATTTGGTTGCCCCGGAGCCTGGAGCTCGTGCAGGGAGCCCCCGGGGGTGTGGGGTGGATACTGTACACCCATTTCTGCAAAGTTTCCACCCTTGTCTTTCCACTGGTAACCCTGGCCGGCTGCCTCTTGTCTTCACAGTAGGTGATGTAAGGCCACAGCATGAGGAGTGACATACTGTACAATACATCATGAGTAAAGCCAGACGTATTGGCTGCACTCACACTGTGCTCAAATCCAAATCACTGCTGAGTTCCAGTTTTCTTTTTAGCTACGTGCAAACATTGTATTTTTAAGCCCCTTTTGTGTTCAGATTGTGATCAGTATCTGACACCAGTCTGAACAAATCACACTCCTGAACTGACTCGCAAAAATTCAAGCCACAAAAACCGTCACACCCGACACACTCATGCAGAAGTGAAATGGAGGCTACAGTGACTAATGCCTTGCTCTTTTGTGTGGTGTAATTTGTATGCTAATGTGCAGGTGGGAGGCAGGTGTCCATTAAATTCAGGACACCTCAAACAAAAATCTGGTCAACAGTTTAACCACTGATCTAAATCAGTGCATGAGGTGTATTAAACTAAGAATCACTGTGTGGCTGTTAGTTTGTGGTAATTTGATTAATTGTAAATTTGTTTGGGAAAATGCACCACTAAAGAACCATATAAACTGAAATCCTAACAACCTTAAGACACATTTCTACCTAATCCACAGGGGATTGTTCTGTGCCAAAATCAACTTTTAATTATTGTTTCAGCTCATATTATGCATACATCTCGTATATTCCTAGATTTAGGCATTAGTACGACAACTTTTCACAACCGTGGCAGTGATTGGTGCCTTGGTCTCCCGGTTAAAATATTATGCAGCTGCCGTGTGTAGTTCTGTGTGTTTTGTACCTAATAAATACTATAATAGTAGTAACATGATACTTACCCAATGAAAAGAGGGTGGGAGGAACCAGTGTCAAAAGAGCCCCACAGCTAAATATTGCCCCAGGGCTCCCAAGTGGCTTAATCCGGCCCTGCATAGCTAAAGCACTTCTGCTCGATGCTCACTAAATAGACGACAAATGAGCTAGCACTTAAACACAGGTGACCTTGTTTGTTTTTATGTCCTTAGCATGAGTGCGATAATACACCTGGGGATATCATGATACAGAAAATAACAAACAAGACTTATTGGTATATCAGTGTGTGTTTTTGCTTGCTGGTCAAAAGCTGTAGATATATGTAAGGTTAGAGCAAGATGAGTTTAAGCAATGTTTTAAGTCGCCAAGAGGAATTGTGTCTCTAGTTTTGACTGATAAGTAGTCCTTCCTTTACAGGGCTGTCATAAAACCGCCCGCCTTTTTGGCAGTAACATGCAAACTCAAACTCAAGTGTATTGAATTTGACCAAGAAGTGAAGCATCATCATGTTAGACGCCACCCTCTAAGAACCATTAGGCTTCCTGGTGCGCTCTACTGCTTGTTCGTTTGTCTGAAACTGTAAACAGATATGAGCCTCACAGCCAGATATGGGCACATTTTGTTGAAGTCTGTCATTGGTAAACGTCCTTTAACTGCCTTAAGAGCTTACAATCTGCCAAAACAGCTCGAAAAGCCACAACTTGTTCAGGGCTTACAAATCTTTCCCTCTGCCCTCTTTGTGATTAATTACAGATTTAATTTATTTTGTGCCCACTCAATAGTTTTGTCACTTGTTCATTTCATATAATAAAGTAAAGGTTATGAGGGTGACACAAGAGAGTCCAAATACTTACAAGGTCACACATGGCTGACTCTCCACTGAGCACTTCATTCACAGCTGCCCTCCATTTTCCTGCACTAGCTCCACCAATGATATGTATGTGTGGTTGCTTGGGATCATGAATAATGTCAAATTGGAGTGACGTAATATTTATTGTAATTTTAAAAAAAAACTCTCAAATTCTCAGATTTACTGTTTTCATCTGTTTTGTATCATTGTATAATTAATATCAGTTTTGGACTGTCAGTCAAACAAAACAAGCAATTTAAAGATGTCACCTTAGATGATCATTAGAGATGTTTTCGTTATTATTATTATTATTATTATTATTATTTATATGTTCTAAATTAAACCAAAAAAATAGTTGATAGTGGATCCTGGTAGCATTAAAATACACCTAGGCACCTTTTTTGCATGTCACCCACCTCTCTCTTCTCTGTTCTCTGTCAAATAATATTTAGCAAAACAGAACAAAACAAAAAAAACGAGATGGATAGATATAAATAAAAAACACAGATGAGAAAGTGGCCCAAATCAAGATTAAAAAACTTAAGCTTGAATGTGATTTTTCACTTTTTATACCATCATCAAAAAACTAATCTATGTTATGATTTTGGCCGTGTTTACCTGCAGTTCAAAGGCACCCATTTTGTCTATGACATTTTTTATCCAGCTACATCAATCACACTGTGACAGCCATGTTGAAAGCTACCCTGATTCCAGCAGATTCCTTTGAGGCCACCTGCATAAATGTGTGTGTGTTTGTGTCTGTGTTAACCTGTTGCTGCTCGGAAACGGTATAGTGGGGTCCCATTAATCAAGTGCAGTTCATAGAGACACACACCTGTTGTACAGCCGTGACCTTGGGGCTGCGTGTGTGTGTGTGTGTGTGTGTGTGTGTGTGTGTGAAAGGGTGAGCAAAAGGAGGCCAGACGGAAGAAAGAGAGATAATAAAAGATCACATACTGAGATTCATTTCTTACTCAAACTTGACTCTTGCTGTAAATCCACTCATGTCATTACTGTGTGTGTTTTCTCTTTCTTCTTCCAGGAGAGGGGGAGGACTGAGTGAGCGAGTGTACGTCCGAACGATCAACAGACAGACAGACCAACAGACAGATTGAATGATGCTGCACCTGGTGCTTCTGAGGGCCTTTCCCATGTTTTGATTTGCTCCATTTTTTACTTTCTAAACTTGGTTTCACCGAGCCGCTGCCTGCCATGCCGTCCAACAGTCCTGCTGCCGCCGAACCGCCCCAGACACCAGAGAATGACACCGCCAATGACGTGGTGAGAGAGATTGATTATCATTGATTTACCGGGGTGTTTTGTTTCTTAAATGATTTCAGTTGAAAGTAATATATCGCTACTACTGCTGATTATACTTTAACATCTATAAAATGAATGCTGCAAGCACATTTCCTACTGCTGTTATTACATATAATATTACAACAGTAAGATAATGTCCTTTTTTACTTGAGTGAAACTAGCCATACCACAATGGAGAAAATATCCTAGTAAACATTGTGTATTGTCCATACAGTGTATGGAGTCAGGAGTGTGCCAAAACATATGCTGTCTCTTTACATTAAAGCGCCCACAAAATGGAAACAATAAATGTCATAGCAGGAGATAAATGACTCTTTAGTAAATAGGATTGGGTGATATGACAGTATATACCGTGCAACAGTAGAAATATGTCCACCAGTTGAGATTTGGCAGTACCGTTTCCACTGTGGGACCTACTGTCAATTACAACGCAGGGTTGAAGAATTCAATTTAGATATAGTTTTCCTTTATGCTACTTTTAAAAACAAAATACAAAGAAACAAATAAAAATGAAAACAATAGTAATTTGTATGATTAAGTGTTGAGGGAGAATTTAACAGTCTCACAGCCTGAGGGAAGAAGCTGTCTGTAAGTCTGGTCGTACAGCTGAGGAAGCTCCTGTACCTCTTCCCAGATTGCAGCAGAGTGAACAGGCTGTGGCTGGGTGGGTGCTGTCTTTTAGTATCCTTTGGGTTCACCAATATGACTGATGTAACTCAAGTCTGGTCTCATGTGAGGCAACTGTTTTTGTTTGTATGGAAGTTCCACATAAAAGAAGAAAATAATCAAATGTTATGAAGTGCAGTGCGGTATGGTTATTTTAAACCATTTCTTAGTTGAATTTACAGAACAATTACTGTATTGTGATCAGAGGTGGGTAGAGTAGCCAAAAATTGTACTCAAGTAAAAGTACTGTTACTTCAGAATAATATGACTCAAGTAAAAGTAAAAAGTAGTCATCCAAATAATTACTTGAGTAAGAGTAAAAATGTACTCAAGTACTGAGTAACGTCCGATTTATTTTTTAACACAAGTATTCAATCAGACAGACAAAAATACAAAATAATCATCTTTAGGCAAATTATAATTCATCCAATCAATAAAATTAAATAAAATTAATTAATGAATTACAAAATAGCTTAAATTAAAATAATCCAGTTAAATTCAAGTACTTAAAAAATAAAATCAATAAAATAATAATAAATGAAAAATAAATAAGCACAAGTAACACAAATTTCCAAACCTTTATACTTTTTTACCAGGCTCTGCAGGCAGAACTAGAACAAGGCAGCCCCATAAACTCTCATAAACTGTGTGTGTGTGTGTGTGTGTGTGTGTGTGTGTGTGTGTGTGTGACAAGACACCGCATAATGTAGCTGCTGTTTTGCACTTTTACTAAGGTAAACATGCTTTCAATATGAGGCCAGCGGTGTTCCTCCTCGTCTGTGTCTGCATTGCCGACGGTTGATTCTGACATTTTTGTTTGCTACGACTGTAATGCTAACCCGTCCCACTGCTGAGAATGAGTATGGTCACGTGACGAGACTGCACAACTACGTTTGATTGGTGAAACACAGTCACGTGGTAGAGCGGAAGTCTCTCTCTCTTTGTCAAAATAAAACATTAAAATGAGGCGTACGCAAGGAGAAACTGCAGTGAAACACGCAAAAAATGCTGTGGTTTCTGTAATACAAGCATAACAGTAAATAGAAATGAAACATACAGCCAATACTTATTCTGTCAATGAACATTACAGTCAGTATATGTAACTGCTAACAAAATATCAAGCAACAATTCCCTTTAAAACAAATAATGTGTTTCAATAAGAGTGAGACCAGAAGTGACCAGCAATGGTCTGGCTATGACGCCAAGGAGGTCTGGTCCGTGGCTCTGGTACATAGGTGCCTTGAGGTAGTGCAGCATCCTGCCGCCCCATGACGAGCATATGTGTCAACAGGTTCGGGTCTGCAATATCTGAGGATACGTACCTCAGGGGTTTGGCATTCAGGGGGCCATCATGCTCCACCAAAACTGTGAGCAAGACATCTTTCGAGGTGGTGCGGCATCCCGCTGCCCCCTGAGAAGCTTATTGAGTGTCAACGGTGTTATGTCTGAAAATGTTCAGTATTGTGGCCTGTTGGACTCTGTTATGTTATGCACCGTGAGTGACAGGTTACTGTGCCTTTAAGGCTTACAGCGTTGATGTACGGCAGGGTTGTAAAATGTAATTGAGGCAGTTGAGAAAAAGCAACACGAACGGAGCTACACGGTGTGGTTATCGAGTCCTACACAAACATAATAAACGGGTTCAGGCCTGCAGTATCTGAGGATACGTACCTCAGGGGTTTGGCATTCAGTGTGTTGTCGAGCTCCACCAAAACTGTGAGCAAGACATCTTCCAACACTGACTTACTTCCGATCACCACTTGGAGAGCATTCTTGATCAATCTAATCTCCCGCTCCCGCTGAAATGTAGCTTTGGCTCCAGATGGCGTCCCTTGCCTGGCTATGAACCTCTGTAAGGCCAGCGAGAAAGCGGTGGCATCTAAACTTTTTGGTATTGTAATATAAGTATTATTTCTTTTCTTTAACGTGTGAGTAGAACAACTGTAACAAACTAATTTCCCCCTGGGGATCAATAAAGTATTTCTGATTCTGAAACTGGGAAGGAGGTCTACACAGAGTGGGTAATTAGGCATTTCAAAATGAGTCCCCATCGTTTTTCAGTGCAATGGCCCAACTTGACCATGAACAGCCCAAAACAATCAACAGCGGTAGAAAAGAAGGGGGTAGGTCAGCCATAATAGATGTCAGAGTTATGCCTGGCATCACCTGGCATTCTGCAAAGGGTGTCGTTTAATCGCCTGTCCGCCCCGCAGGACCCAAAACTGTTGTCGTATTTCAGCAAAAACACAGTCTGGACCCGGATAGAGAAGGCGCTCATCACCTTAATGATGTTCAGTGCTGGCATGATGAGGATCCAAGACAACTGGATGGATTTCAATCAGTATTGGGCCTTCTGTGTGTCTGAGCCTACCTCCTACCCAAATCAAAAGAGTCCCTGTCAATCTCAGGCGCAAGAGCAGCAAGACAACTGTCGGTTGCACCTGGCAGGCTCGGATCCTTGTGGTTGGGATGTGATGCTCTTGAGGTTTGTGCTTGTATCCTGTGGGTTTGTGTGGTCTTGAGTAGGCCCCAACTCGATGTTTGCAGAGAGTGCAGCTGTGGGGAGATGCTCCACAACTGGGGGGTGATTACTTTCTCACTGCCAAATCTCGAAGCCTCCGGCAGCCAGTAGATCCTGCGTTTTGTCAATGGGATGTTGGGCAGACAGAGCTGATGTCAGGCCCTGCAGACAATTGTCCACATAAAAGCACTGCTCGACCTACTGCAGTATGTCCTTGTTCCCAGCTTGCATATACTAGGTCCCATCACCTGGTGAAGACACAAGCAGCATGTTAGGTTCTTGCTTCAGGAGTACCTGAAGATGTATTACACTGCAGTCACTGCATGCCTTTTTCAGGATACACTCATCAGGGCTGTGGCTGGTGTGCCCACATTTCCAGCATCTATTCTTTCCCGGATCCACTTCACAATCTGCTCTGGGTGACATTTAGCTACCTCTTCACACTGTGAGAGGCTCCTGACTCTATCAGAAAAGGCAGATCTGTTCCGGTCCGTTTGGTTTCTGAGATTTAAAAGTGTCCCTGCTGCTGAGTTGTTCCTTAACTTTAGGTTGCTCACTGCCATGATAAACAGTGGCTGACTGACTCTTCTCAGAGGCAAGTGTGTCATCCTTCCGTAGAACTGGCTGCCTCTCGACCTGGGCCATTTTTACTGACAACCATTGTGCTTCAGCCTTCAACCTCAGCCACTGCATTAGATCATCAAGTTGTAGGGGTTAAGACTAGATGTCTGTAACCTGCAGACTGAACGCTGGACCTTTTCTGTAATTTAAATTATGGCACTATATCAGTTGTTTTGCATGCAGTAACTACAGCCATCAGATAAATGTTTAAGCATAAATCATACAATATTTCCCTTTGTAAATAGAAATGAAAATACCAATAAAGATAAGATAGGTTACACCTTTATTAATCCCCAGAGGGGAAATTCCGGTGTTGGACAGAAATAAGTACAGATACATAGAGAAATTATTTAGGGTACATAAAGTAAAAATAAGAATAGAAATTAAAATAGACTATACAAAAGACTTCCAGACAGGAGTGACATGGTGGTATGATTAGTAGCAACATAGTATAGTATGTGTAAACAGCATATACCAGAATTATATATATAACATCGTAATACTTAGTACTCCTAGTACTGAAAAATTTAACTTAAATATGCACTTAAATAAATACACTCAGTTTTTTTACCTAGGACTTTTACCACCACTTGTGCTACTACATTTCAGATACTTCTACTACTTCCGCTCCTGTTACTCTTATTATTGCTGCTTCTATTATTATAAATATTAAATTACTACTACTGTTATTTTCACAGCCACAGATATTATTACAACCACCACCACTTTTACTACAGCTATCATTACCACTACTACTTTGGCTTCTAAGCTTGCAGTTGAGAGCTTTTTTTAGCCTCCACACGCAGAAAACCTGGCGAGTAGGATTGTGTGTGTTTGTAATAATTAAACTTACAGTTATTTATTCACGTTCACTTCAGACCTGTCTGCATTCCACACACTAACCCGACCACATGCAGGAGAAACTAGCGCAGGGTTTTGAGTCTGAAACAGTCTTTTTTTGGGGGGGGTTAACACAAATGAGCATGCACACTCACAAACACACACATTAACACACAGTCAGACATACACAAGGTGAAAAATGGCTCCTTTCATTTGCACCCCAAGAGCCCAGGGCAGCCCTCATAAATCTGTGAGAAGTTTGAAGTTCATTCTATAGTGCTGCTATCTATAAAGAGCTGTCCTACTCACTTAC